TCATATGTCCCTGGGAAGCTTCTCGCAACAGCGGACACCCTGTCTCGTATGCCAACGGAACCTGCCGATTCGTCTCGTTCTGTAGACACAATCGAAGTGTTTGCTGCGGAAGTCCTTCAGACCTCATCAGAAGCAGCATCTCTACAGCTGGAGGACCTTCGAACTGCTCAAGCAAGCGACGGGGAGTGTCGCGCACTCGCGTCGATGTGCCATAACGGGTTCCCTCCGAAGTCAAAGTTACCGCTTCACCTGACGAAGTATGCAAGCGTGTTGGACCAACTTTCGGTTTGTGATGGTTTACTCCTGAAAGGCACTCGCATTGTGGTACCAGCAGTGCAACGTGCGACAGCGCTGACTTTGATTCACGAAGGTCACCAAGGCATTAACAGATGCAAGGCTCGGGCCCGGGAATCAGTATGGTGGCCAAGTATCAACGCTGATGTAGCAGCACTCGTGGCACAATGTGAACAGTGCACGTCGTACCGAGACAATCCAGCAGAGCCACTTCGGAGCACGCAGCTTCCAAGTCTACCGTGGGACTTTCTGGGCGCTGACTTGTTTCACCTGAACCGACAGACTTACCTCCTCGTGGTCGACTACTATTCCAGTTATCCGGAAGTGGTCTCGCTCAACTCTGCAACAGCTGGGCATGTCATCCAAGTGCTCAAGAGCATTTTTGCTCGTCACGGCATCCCCTCCACTCTGCGTTCAGACAACGGACCACCCTTCCAGTCCCACGAGTTCGCTCGGTTCATGGCATCGTACGGAATCGTACACCAGACAAGCAGCCCCAACTTCCCACAGTCCAATGGGGAGGCAGAGCGCATGGTGCGCACGGTGAAGAACCTGCTACGCAAGGCGCACGATCCGTGCCTGGCTTTGCTCAACTACAAAGATACCCCCGGACCCTCAGGTTTCAGTCCGGCACAATTGTTGATGGGGCGCCGACTCCGCACCAGACTTCCCAAGGAGGGGAGACTGTTGTTACCAAGTAGCAAGCCACAGGAGGAGGTGGCCACCAAGGCCGCGAAGCTCAAACGTCGGCAAGTCACCGACTTTGATCGCCGCCATCGGGCTAGAAGCCTCTCGCTGCTGGAAGACGGTACCCGCGTCTGGGTTCGTCCGGAACGGGTAAAGGCTACTGTCCTCAGTCCAGCGCAACGTCCCAGGTCGTACGTGGTGGAAACAGATGAGGGAGCAATCTGGCAGCGCAACCGGAGAAACTTGGTGCCTTTCAGGACAGGCAGTGAAGACCCAACTGCGAGAGAAGAGGCTCAAGGTCTGGCTCCTTCTCAAGAACCGGCGGCACCTGCAGCGCAGGCACGGGCTTCCCCTCGGCAACCACCTGCACCTGCATCTCAAGGACCGGTTCCTCCTCAAGAGTTGGTGGCACCTGCAGCTCAAGGATCGGCTCAACCTCAGCAGCCACCTTCGCCTACGAGCCACAACCTCCGGCGCAACGAACCTGACTTGGATACCTCGCCTGTACAAAGAACCAGGTGTGGCCGACGGGTGGTGCGTCCCAGGAAGTTGGACCTTTAGTATGATTCTGAGGGGGGAGATGTAGAGGGCGCAACCCTCGCGTACTTGATTGCCGCAGGCAACCCTGTGCCACCGCGAGGGCGGCTTCGTGTGTTATTTTCAACGGGATAAAAGTCACTTGTTGTTCTGGCACGAGAGAGTTCGCACGAACCTTCTTCTGGCCCGGCATGGCCTCCACAGATATCATCAAAAAGGATTCATGGCCGACGCAGGCAAACAAGGGCAAGCTTTCTTGGCTAGAGTGCCTGCGTGCCACTGGGACTATTTCTCTGTGTGATCTTCTGAACGAGGCTAAGGCTGAATTAAATTTTTCGATTGAGCTAGTTAGTTCATTACTTACTTGAAAGGCAATGAAAAGTGCAAAAGAAAAGGCAGGGATGAAGACAAGTGCTCGAACGTGTTGTTTGTTGGTCTTTTTACACCTTTTAATAGCTTTGAAAGGCTAAAAGCAGTCTCTGGTCTCTGAATAATCTATGATTTGTAAAATGATCTTGAAAATCGAAACAGTTTCAATAAGTTTTACAAAAATGAAATTCGCATCTGCGGGGTTTTTTTCTTTTCTCTTTTTTTTTTTATTTACATCTTGTGTTTTTGAATGAAGCATGAGAATACAGGCCTGTCCGATCATGAAGCTACCTAGATTTGTGAAATTCTAATCTGCTGCAAAGTATCAATCACAAAAAAAAAAAAGGGAGAGCGGTCACCGCATTACAAGAAAATAAACCTTGTCGAGTATTTACCTTCCTGGGCAATGAGTAGTTTATTTGTGCGAGTCGATAAACATGTATCAAAACTTTGACTATACTCCGTTCACCTTTAAAAGGGCCACAAAATGAACTTTGGGCGGGGAAAAATGATTTAAGGTTGGGACTTTACGAATCACATATCGTTTAAAGGGCAAAAAAAAAAGAGGGTAGAAAGTAAAAAGCCAGCATTTCAGTATGAACATTTCAAGATATAGAGGACTATTTAGTACCTCCTTACTTTCAAAAGCTCTCAGCCTTTTCACTACGATACATCCGCAGTACCCCAAACGTCAGCCGACCCCAGCTCACGCATTGGGCACGAGCACTACGTCCCTCGAACGTATGCACTCGTCAACAATCAATCCGCCGACAAATATTTGGATTTGCATTTGTGGCCAATGAGTGCCCTGGCGGAACTTATCACTTGCGAATGACAAGCTCTATTGCACGCTTAAAAAAGGAAATTGGTAGCTTGGAGTCATTGCACCGGTGCCCAAGCATGTCCCGAAGACGCTATTTCTCAACTCGCTTTTGAGTTAAAAATTAAAGCTAAGGAGGGAGAGTTGAAAAATTGTTTCATGGACCCTTAAAGCTGAGAGCTCGAGGTCACTACTTAGAAGCGTTCTTCTGCAGAACGAGCACTCGCGCAAGAAATGCACGTCTCAAAGCCAGGAACACGAGCCAGCTCGCGCTAGTAGATTTGGCTGGCCATGCCAGTAATTTATGCGCCGCGAGCATTTGGTTTGCCGTGTTAAAGGGATGCGGACGCAAAAATTTCAGAGTCCATAATAAGTGGCACACATTCTTTCCACGAGCCAGCAGCCGCCGGTGCGCGCGAGCACACACAACGAAATTGACGCCATAGTTCCGCATTCACGCTTGGGATGACAGTGAAATGTGTGGGCTCCAGGGAAAAAGAGTATAAAGACGAGCTTTTAATCTCCACAGCGGGGTCTGGTGTAAAAGGTAAGCGATTAATTGGCCTAACCCAAGTAGCACCCAATGTTATGCGAACATTCCCTGGATGTTCTGAATGTTGAAGGAACATCAAAACACCATTCGGAACGTTTGTATGCGAACATTTTCTACAAGGTAAGCCGCTCAACATTCTAGGAACGTTCGTATGCACAATGTTCTCGGAACATTCCCTTTCGAACATTCGTATGCGCAACATTCTTGCAACGTTCACTTGCGAACATTCCTAGAATGTTTGCAGGCGATGCCAACTTTACGGAGCTCTCATGCAACCTGTGGTTCGAAACACTATACACTATATGCCACTTTCTGCCAAAAATATGTAAATTAAGCGGAGTTTCTGGAAATTTAGCATAAGGGATCAGTTTTATCTTATATGAGTATACCGAGGAATGTTATATAAGGTGTAGGAAAAAAGCAATGGTTTTCAAAACATGATAATGAGCTTGGCACTTACCGCGTATGTAGAGGGGCAGTTTTGGATGGACCAGATATTTAGTATCTGGGGTTTTGAAACTTTGAAAAGAGTATTTCCCTGTTGAATGAGGGATGCCATATGTATTTGTTCTTAAGCTCGGAGCGAGTAATCGGTTATGTATACAGCACATTTTGAATGAGAGTTGACAAGTGACGGGCTCAGGCTGATGCGCTGGGAAAGCGGCTAACTTGTGCTTGCACCTTATAAAAATATGTTTCGATTAAAAAATATTGCCATGTGAGGAGCTTTATGACATCCATATACCGTATGTAGTGCGGCTCATTGGGGCTGTAGCCTATGCAGGCCGTAATTGAAGAATCTTTGTAAACAGCCCTCAGAGAATGTTCCCTGAATATAGCGATGTACCCACGCCACGTTCCGAGGAGATTGAAAGGATGTCCCTGCATAAATTTACCACATTTCAAGAAAGTTGCAGAAGTTCTTTGGATGCTCCGAGAACATTCTCAGACCTTTGTTAGGATATTTGAATGTTGATTGAATGCCGTGGTAATGTTCTATGTCGTTCTCAAAACGTTCTAAGAATGTCCCTTAGAAAACATTCCCCGAATGTAATAGCGATAAGTGCCAGCGCCACATTCTGACGTTGATAGAATGTTCTTATGTAAATTTGCAACATTCCAAGAATGTTGCCAAAGTTCTTTTGAACATTCCCAGAATGTTCTCAGAACGTTCCCGTGCTACGTGGGAACAAGCAAGTGGCTTTCACTTGTGGAGATGAAAAGCCTGTCTTTATTCTCCTTTGGCCCAAAGACAATAATACATTTAACTGTCATCGTAATCGCGAATGGGGGACTGACATCAATTTCGTTGCGTGTGCTCGCGCTGCTGGCTCGTGGAAAAAACGTGCGCCACTTATTATGGACACTAAATTGTTTGGTTCAGTATCCCTTTAGGCATGTTGGTTAAACAGGTATAGGTCCACGTCAGTGTTCTGGATTGTTGCTATGGGAATCAGCGCGGCGCCCGTTTTCGCCGCTCATGTGTTCCCTGCTTAATAGTTTCACACCGCAGATGTTGTTCGAAGAGACCAGTAAGTAGAGATAACCGTCAGTACCCAGCAATGGCGACACTTGCAAGCTTAAAAAGTGCAAATAAAACGAGGACAACGAACACCCAAAGACGACAGGGCAGGCGCCACTCCTGTCGTTGTGTTCGATTTGTTCGCGCTTTTTAACCTAAAACAAAAAAACCCGGTTCTTTTTTTTTTTTTTTAACACCTTGGTTTGTAGGGCACTTACCGCGCGGAAGAGATGCCTTGGGGTGAAACGACGATGAGAGATGGACAAGGTGAACGGAAATGAAGAAGCGACTGAAAAGTTCACCAAAGTGACCAGACACACATCCCGCGCTTCCCAGTCAAACTGACACGTGATACAACGGACATCTTAAGTGGTGATGATGATAGCGCGCTTGATGATGATGATACTCGTTTTAAGCTTGAAGTTGAAGGTGAATATTAGGGGTGTCGCGAACTTTGTCGAACGGGATTTTTAGGTCGAACTTTTGGGGTTCTACTGGGTCGAACCGGTTCGACGAACCTTCGACCTTTTCACCCATGGAGAATAGAAGGGTTCTTGGTCGGTATCCAAGCGTGCGAAGGCACAGAGACACGGCACTTCGGCGTGCCAAGGAAGCTTTGAACACGCCGCCAGCCCTTCCTTTCGACGCGTTGTGCCTTTTTCCTGCGACACTGCATTTTCGTAAAATTTTCCACGTGTTTACAACGGCAAGTCTCAACAATACACAGAGTCTTCAAAAAACGTCTTCGGCGAATGACGACGAACGAGTAGAAAACGTGTCTACAGCACGCTGGAAAACCGCAGCGAAGGCTAGCAAAAACGGCAAATCGTATCCCAAGCGAGTGAAGTCCGGGTGAGTGCGAGGGTTCGACTTTGTGGACACTGTGGCCTGACCTTGATACAAGCATGTCTAGGTTTGGAGAATTGTTTTTTATATGCAATGGGTTATTTTATTTTATGAACAGTTGCAAATAAAAGAAATCAATTCTTATCACTGAAAAAGTTAATAACTTAATTTTTTTGCACTGAATTAACTGAAAGAACCAATCAGCGCTGCCCTTAATCTACCCCTTAGCCATCGCCATCCAATCTGAAGCCAAGTGGCCAGCCTGTCGCGCAGGCGCACACGAGTCGAACCTCAATACATGGTTCGCCAAACTTTTCACTAAAATTGCGAAAAAATCGAACCTGGTCGAACTCGAACCGCGGCCGGTTCGCGACACCCCTAGTGAAAATCGCCGACTCCGTGGTTTGTTTTTTCTAGCTTGATGTCACGTACCAATCCACACACGCACACCAAAAAGGAAGAAAAAAAAAAAAAAAAAAAAAAAAGAAACGCGCACATTCACAGCATGTTTTATAATCACTTTTATTCAATGCGCTTTGTTTTGTTTTCAATACTTACGGAAACTTGGCTGCACAATCCAAAAGGCAAGGTATATATATACCGGGTGAAACAAGGAGACGGTAGGCTCTTTAAATCGACCGGAAAATTCGGTTTCTTAACCTATCGCGCTACGACTTTGTGCAGCGTTGCCCACAGATGGTGCATTTTTTTTGTAAAATTTGCAAAGAGCGAACTTACCTGAGGAAAAAGTAAAGAAAGAAAAAGGCTTAGCTCCTATCGAAACGCAGCGACGCCTCCGGTCTGCAAACAAAACTTCGCCGCTTCGCACGGGAGACAAGAGATGGCGCAAGCGGTCGCGACGCCAACTACCGCCAACGAACGAGCAGACGACGCCGAGAGTCGGCCCTTTTGCAGACAAGGAACTGCAGTTCCTTGCTGTTACTGCGCCTGTCTTTTTTGTTTCTGCGACTGTCGCCGCCTACGGAACGCGCTCCGCTTTTGAGTCGAAAAGATCGTCTGCTAAGAAGGCCTGCTCTCGGCGCCGTATGCTTGTTCGTTGCGGCGTTCGTTGCGCCATCTCTTGTGTCCAGTGCGAAACGGCACCGTGTTGTTTGAAGACCGGTGGCGTCGCTGCGTTTCCATAGGAGCTAAGCCTTTTTCTTTCTTTACTTTTTCCTCAGGTAAGTTCGCTCTTTACAAATTTTACGAAAAAAATGCACCATCTGTGGGCAACGCTGCACAAAGTCGTAGCGAGATAGGTTAAGAAACCGAATTTTCCGGTCGATTTAAAGAGCCTACCGTCTCCTTGTTTCACCCGGTATATATATAAACATTTAAAAAAAAAAAAAAAAAAAAAAAAAAAAACGTGTCAAGTAATTTGATGGTACAAAATTTATTTCAAGTACATGACAAGGCACCTGCCAATGGCTGAACACAACACTCACTGCATAAGGTCCATCACAAAGGCACTTCTTTTGTAAAGTGGCTGTCTTCAATTTAAAGGTATGGAGACAAACTCTCGTATAAAAATACCTCGATAAAGCACACACGGACCTACATATGACTGTCATATTTCAGAGTATACCCCCACTACAAATGGCTACGTAGTCTGAAGCTGCACCGACACCGAGCAAGTACATCGGTGAAATGCATTTCGTGCCATTACATTCCTTCGCAGCAGACGAGGCACATTTTAAAATCCGCGTAAAAAGCGTGTGCAAAATAAGCATGGAAGTGCAAAACACGCATTCCTGTCCTCTATCTTGTTGCAAGGACTGCGTACAATGCTGTCAGAGCTACAAACATTCTGCTCTTAGGATTCCTCTAACCTTGCTTGATATTTGTGGAGTTGTGCGAGACATATCATGAAATTAGGCGAAGCTATGACCAAGAGGTAGGGACGCGCCAGCGCATAGCTTTGGAAGCTCTTCACAAATTGGGGCACATCGTGCATGAACAGTGCAATTCGACAGTGAACAAACAGTCTTTCTCGATCAGAACTTGGCACAATATTACAGTGGAACACCTCCGCTACATTTTTCAAACTATTAAAATGATAAAACTAAACTTAATTTCATTTAGGTCACCCCTTTAGCGGTGCTGCACTCAGCTGTGGGAGCAAACAAACGTCTCAGACGGAGAGAGATTAGCTGCAATGTTTCAAACAGAACGAAACCACCCCAAAAAAATTTTGCTTTACCGACGCGTTAACGTATGACAGCAAGACATGCACACTCAAATTTGCCGCTCAGCCACATTTTTGTTGGTTTACTTAGCTCATTGGCCTTCACCGCTTACGGCGCATTCACACCTGCAACTCGCGACAGCCGTGCGTCTGACTAGCAACGTGCTACAAGCGACCACCGACGATCACGCTGCGGGCGATTTGCGAGTCGCTTCTCGAAACCTCTCAAGATCCCCACCGTTGATTTTGTCCTCCCCGCCACAGCTCGGGTTCACGTTTTGCTGCATTCTCATTTTCGTTGTCCCACGGCTACAGGTGCGTCATTGTTGCCATATAAAAAAAAAGGTTTGCTACGTTGGCCTGGGTCCTTTGTAACCGTAAAACAAAGCAATATCGCTTCGTCGGTGAACGCTCGCTCGAGCTACCACCGCTACCGGGTCGCAGTATGCATCTGTCGAGCCAAAAGCGGCACAAATTTGCTGCCGGGCCGAGTCATTTTTCGGCCGCTCGCTCAAGTCGGGGTGCTGCTTTTACGAAGAGATGGGTATTTTTTAAAAGCGCCGATCAGAGCCACCGCAAGGACCTCCTTGGCTCTGTAACCACGGCCACTACAGCAAACCGAGGCCGCCGCAGCATTGGATGGACGTGTCGGTTGCTTCTCCCACAGAAATTCGGCGTGCCGGACGTAAACAAACGCGAGGCGCACCGCACGTCACTTTTGAGATGCCGCTGATTAGTTCAGCCGCAAAGCGGCCGCTCTAGACCGGTCGCTTTCGCGACTTGCGACTGCCACTTTTGCAATAAAATTTGTCGCCCGACAGCTGCGACTCGCAAGTGTGAATGCACTTTTACACCTGCTTACTGGGGTCTGCAGAAAGGGTTGTTACCTTCGGTAATGGGACAACGGAAAAGCGACGCTTGCATTTCTCGGCATGCAACGGGACTGCTGCACAAAGGGTGTTCGTAGTCAAAAACCTTCTTTTGATTCCCTGTTGTGCACCGGCATTGCCTTTTCTTTCTTTTAATTAGGCCAGACTTCAGCGTGACAAATAAATAAATTATACGCATAAAAGCCGCAGAGTGCCCCGTCACTAGACCTGCTCATTATAGAGACCGTCCAACCATGGAAGTCCCCACAAAAGGCACACGCAATTCACTGTAAAGCTAGAATGTGCTTTGGTATGTGCTTTTCTTCTTTGTTTCAGTTATGAAAACGGGCTAAGGCACTCTTATACCCGAGCGGCGTCTGATCAAATGTTCGTCGAAGCTAAGGAGTCGAGGTTCTTGACCTCTTGGAGTTTCTGAAAATAATGACCAAAAATATATTACAATATGCAATCAAATCAACAGGAAAGAGAAAGCTCAAGAAATTCAGTCAACTCTATGATGCTCGACTAATGCTGCGTTTCAATACATTCATGTTATAATACTCGACCAACACTGTATTTCAAAACATTAGCATTGTCCCTCTACCTATACTTTCTTTTCTTTCGGCTAATGATCCAGTAAAAATCACGCCAATAATGTTGGGTGTTACCATTCTTGGGACAGTTGGCAAGATTACTCAAAACTTCCATATTTTTTTCAGACCGTTATTCAGTTGCTAGATTAATACATACATTTACGAGCTATGCATTGTTTTTAAATCAAGAACTATGCAGCGGATCGGGTTAACAGTTGTCTCAAAGTCGTCATATTAGAAACACAGGGGAATTATACACCGTAACGAGAGAAAGCTCCAAGGAAAAAATGTCAAGACAAAATTTCGCCAGAAAAAACATAGACTCCTATAAAATAATGGAAAGAACATAAAACACGAAGACAACGAAAAAAAAACCAGCCTGGCAGAGTTGTCATGAAAAGTCTGCTTCCAGCTAAGGATTGTCTTGACAGTCTTTGTGTTTCATATTCTGTCCATTATTTATACAGTATTACCCTTACAAGCACACTCTCCATTCCAAGTATTACCAACTGGAAACAAAAAATTAAAAAAAAAAGAAACCACTGAAGCATACGCACCATGAAGGATGATATCTCATTGGAGACAGCTTCGATTTCGTGGGCAGTCTTGGCATCCTGGAATTAAAACCAATGTCGCAGGCTTTAAAACAGACACACACACTCTAAGCATAGCCTTCCGGTCATAATAACGGCTATTCCAAAGTAGTCTAACACCCCTGTTACACAGGCAGCCTTGCTCACGGTCAATCCGACCGCGTTAAGCCAAACTCCAGTTTAGCGCAGTCGCACGGCAGACCAAACTGGTTATCTGGCTAACCTTGGTTTGCATAAAGTGAGCTGGGGCTCGGTCGGCACACTAAGGAAGTTTAAGGTGGCGATGGCAGTGGCACAGCTGCGGACTGCCAGCGTTAACGAAGCACTGTTTCGGAAGGCTGAAGGATACCTCTGAAGATCTGTAGGAGCTAATATTGTGGGGAGCAACGTGGTTAGGGGTCAGAGCTGCCTCTAAAACGACGTCTGAAGGTCCCAGAAGAGGGAGAATGACCGCAATCTACGAGCGCCGCCACCGATTATGGCAAAGCAAAGGCGCTGTGGCTTCTATGATGTCACTTTTGCCACATCTATTTGATGTGCTAGAATGGATAATCACACTTTATGCGCAACAAACAAAGTGAGACACGCAATATCTCACATAAAATTCTTAACAATATGAAGCGTGTCTCTGATCAATCACTTCAATACTCAAATTGATCATGTGACGCCGCACTTGGTTTAGCTTTTGTCTCGACGAAAAGCGAGGGAACCACGTAACGCCATCTCGGCTCAATCTGGTCTGACCTCAATCGGAGTGCGGTCTAACCGCACTTGAAATGGCCCGTGCAATGGACTTTTCTGAAAAGTCCGCCGAGCTGCCTTGGCAGTCCCCATTTCTCGGAAAAAAAGTGTGCAAGTGGATCCGAGTCGTAGCCAAACGCTGATGCAGCGTTCGCGTCCACTACACGCTCAAAATGTTTGCCCAAGCAACAGCGAAAAGGCAATGGCGCGCACTTTTGAAAAGGGTCTATAAGGATTTGTGCAGGACACTGCAAAACACTGTGCCACTGGGGAACTACTAAACAATACAAAACGTTTGGCAATACAAAAACATTTTACACCCACTTTTTCTCTGGACGAGAAGGAACTATCGAGGGAGCTGTCGCCGGTCGACTCGAAGGACACGTCCTCCACCACGCTGTCCGGCTCGAACGGGCAGACGTACGCTTGGGATTCCCCGGACTTGGATTTGCGCCAGCGAAGCGAGAACTGGCTTTTCTTTGCAGTCTGCGAGTGGTGCAGGCACCAAAAAAAACGCAAGAACAAGCTGAAGAATACCGAGCATGCCTAAATTCATACAGGGCCCAGCAATTCCAAACAAGCTTCCTATTGACAGGAAAGAAAATAACAATCCTGGATGGTTTTTTGTTCTCAGACCCGTATAAAGGTTCATTTCGACTTGCCTCAACAAGGTTGTCCCTACTTTAAAGGGGTAGGGAAACGAAATTTCAGCGCTCATTTTCTAGCTTTAATGCGTTGCATGTTGCACCCTAACCTCAAAAACACCAGTCTTCCGTTGAAAAGCACAAGAAAACTAATTTTAAAGTAAATAAACAATCTTTCAATGTGCCCCTGGTGGATGCATGCGGAGCCTATTTGGGAGGTAGTCTAGCAACGTTGTGGAAACTGCTACGTAGTCGTGACGTAGCAGTTTCCTTCGGAGCAGTGCCGCTCTTTGGCATTTCAACGTTTTCCTTCTTAGCTTTCCTCCTGAACTCACAAATCGCGCATTGTACCAAACGGTCCAAGAAGACGGAAAGGAAGGACTCCCTTCTTTCTCGGAGCCTCGTTCGTGCAACCGGAAACAGCCATTGTCCCCCTAGAAGATTAGCCCGTCGCTCAAAACTCGAACAAAAGTTGCTTTCCCCACCCCGTTCAGCCCTAAGCTGACAGTGTTGTGGAAGCTACGTGCTCCTTGGGCCAGCCACACGCTTGTCACACCACGGATACTTCGAGCGGCTCGGTTGTAACGCGCTGACGCTATTGACACCACCACAACACTGACAACGCCACCAAGGGCAAAGCTCATAACCACGCTTGCCTTGCTACTCCACGAACGCGGGAAATCTTTTCTTTCTGTTTTTGTTTGCGCCGGACATCCCATGACGCATCGCGCTCTCCGCTCGCTTCTCTTCGAGCGCTTGCTCGAGTGCACCGTTTGGAACGAAAAATATAGCCAATCGTTCAAAATACAAACGTGCGATTATGATTTACGGTTATTATCCGTCATGCTTGACTCATTTCCGAACGAAATTTGAATATTTCAATTTATGTGTCCGCACCCCTTTAAAAGGGCACCAACACCCTCAAAAAAATAACTACCGTAAGTTTCTTCTTGCGCGAAGCGCTAGATTTTTTTCGAGACAGTGCTCCAAAATTATTTTTGCCACGGAGCCGCATATATTTTGGGAGGGATGAGGCCCTGGACCCAGACCGTGCTCAGAGTCTTACTCAAATGGATCAGAGTTACTCTGGCAGGTCGTATCTCACGACAACACAGATAGGGCGACGCCGAACACGGTTGGGTTTTCAAACGCCAAGGCCCCAAAACTTTACCCTGGAGTGAGATTGAGTAAAAATTGAAACAAGGCCCCAGTGACAGCACGAAACAATGTCGACGTGGATCAAAGCCGGTCGAACGCCACCATTGTTTCAAACACTTGAGACGATGCCTAGACGACGCCGAGCTCTCGGGCGTGACGCACCTTCACCTTGGCGCTGGGCGAGAGTGGCACGTGGCCGGGGTCGGACTCTCGGGAGCGCTTGCGCTGCATGATGCGTGGTCCCAGCAGCTGCTTCATCTGCAGTGAGAGGTGCCGACGCAGCAGCGTCTTGCTCCCCGGGATGCTCAAGATGGCCGCAAACACGTCGCACGTCACCGCGTCCTCGTAGATCTGCGTTCAGACGAGCGCCACCGTTGCCTATCCCGGATTTCTCAGTTGCGCAAGACGTGAAACCGTCCAGGACATTTCTAAACCTAGTACTCCTCAACGCAAATGCTGTAAACACTACAATACAGCCTTTCTATACTCATTTTTTTCATTAAATACTTTTTGCTGCTTAAGAACTATAGACCCTGAAAGGATGAGGAAGTGCAAGGAGGAGCTTCGGTTGACCCGCCTTCAGTGCGAGCTTCCTACCTTCGACGATGCTTCGGCGTCTCGGGCACTTCGAGCGTGCACGCACGGCTGAAGCATGACGGAAGGCAACCGGTGCATACTGCAGGACAGGTGTTCCGAAAAGACACCCCGCCGCTCTCATCTCATCGCCGATCATAGCTCAAATGCCTGTCCATTGCACAACAAAGCTAGCATGAACGGACAATCAGAATTCTTGTCTTCCTATCGCAACTGAAAAGCTGCCGTCAAACCATGCTGCTGCGGCGGAATGTTTTAGTCCTCACCACCAACTCAAGCGGTAGGAGGCGGCGTGCGGCCATGTGCTCCCCGAGCAAAAATTGGAGAAAGCGCCGACATGTTTTGAGCATTGCGTAAGTATTGAGAGCATTATTTCCACTGCTCCATTGCATCCATATCTTCGCTGTACCAACATTTACTGTAGCGAGATCCTGTTGTACAAATGGAGTGCTCGTAAGAAACAAGAATCAAGATTTCAGACTTTTTACGAGTAACACTTGCTATGAGCACAGAGACTGCCGAGTTTGCACACATTTCTAGGCTATCTGATACTTCGCGAGTCCCACAAACCTGCCCGCATTGCTTAGCTGCTACTCCGCACGACGGGCGTGCTTCGGGGAGCAACGTACCAACAGTGCTCCATGGACCCCACTTCCGCGGAGGTTGGGGGCATACTCCGACAGGTCCACCGTCCGGAGCCACTCCATCACCCGATGGTTGGTCCACAGAGAAACGTCCAGCGGCGAGTACTGCTTCGGCTGCGCACACGATCCGGCGAAGTGCTCAGAATGTTCACACACACAAGATTTTTATGCCTGCATGACCACACCCAATGCTATTCTGCAATGTCAAATTGCATGTAACTGTGCAATTTTAAGTTGCACACACCTCTGCCACGTCGAATTATGGGCAACTCTGCAACGTCGAATTGCACGCAGCTTTGCAACATCAGATCTCACGCAGAGTTGCGAGCAAACTTTGAGATGCAACTGCCCGCCGTTATAGATCCCCTGATCTCGGGTCGTTATGGCGAATATTACAATTTCAGGGAGGGTATTCAGAGGTTTGCATTTGTCTTTCAGAAACATCGTTACTCCTTCTACAGTCAGTGGCGGCTTAAGAGTTCAGGGGAAACTATTCCCACCTCTTTCCACTTTGGCAGAGTGAACGCCAGAGAAGAGGTGGCCTCCTCTCCAGCGTTTGCTCTGCTAAAGTGGAAAGAAGTGGGAGGAGCTTTCCCTCACCGACTAGAAGTTTCTTTAATGTGGCACTAGGGCATAACCAAATTCATTCATTCCTCTTTAAACGTGGGACTGGAATGAAAGCCATAGCAACAAAAGATGTTCCCCCAAAAACAATATGAGCTGAAACACCCTATCTTTCTTCATCTACAATCCCCACAAGCTCCATTATCTCTCAATTTGTCAAATGGTCCGAAGTACAAGACCCGAACTTCACATTCCGTTCCTAGTTGGGACCACAGCTCTCTCAAAAATCGGGCAGGCAAGCCAAATAAGCACAAAGGACTGCCTTGGCTTGTAATTGAGCTAGTACATAACTCAGCTTAAAGATCCAGAGACCTTTGGTCAAGCCAGGGTGTTAGTTACGGCACTTTGAAAACATGCAGTGACGTGATTTAGGTCGCGCAACCTAGATTTACGCTAGAGGGGAGGCACACCTCGTCGGGTAAGGACCTTCGCTTGAGGCAGGAAGGCTCAAATTGGTTAAGCCGCAGAACCTGAATTCCCCTTTTCATGCTGATGTGGTGAAACTGGTTTGTGATCTTCATATGAACCAGGTCATCCTGGGGAAAAGAAAGAAAAAAAAAGACTCACAATGTAGGTAAACCACAACTGCAAACAAAGGAGGGCAACAATTGGATGGGTAATGGAGCTTTTTCACTCGGGCAACTTTCACTGCTGCTCAAGAAATAAAAGGTGCAATCAACTTGCTAAACAAATAAATAATTATTATTAATAAACAAAAATTTACCACAGTTTTCAGTTACAATGCACTCCATCGTAAGGTGAAACAGAGTACAGAAGCAACTGTATGCTGCTGTTTAAGGGAATCAGCATTACCGTAGCAACACCAAAAAACCCGGGAAGGTCTCGGCCACTGACCACAGTGAGGTACTGTAAGGTGAAATCGAGAACAGAACCAAACGTTTCCCGCTGCTTATGATGGTGAACATTTCCGTAACAACACCAACAGCCGTTGACCACTTTGAGGCATCGTAAGGTGAGACGAAGTACAGAGGCAACAGTTTGCCACTGTTTACGAGGGTCGGCATTGCCATAGAAACACAAAAGATGCCAGGAATGTGTTGGCCACTGACCACGGTGAGGACGTTGAGCACTCGTCCATCCACCAGGGCATCGCTGAAGGCGTCCTTGTACTGGGGCAGGCCGACGTCGTCCAGCCAGCGCAGCGTCCACTGCCAGTCCAGCAGGGAGGCTGCCCTGACCAGCTCGCTCGCGTCCGGCTTCAGCGACTCCACCGCCAGCAGCATCTTCTTGCGGTGCAGGGGGTTCTTCATCCCCAGGTCCTGCACCAGGCCGAAGGTCAAGGTCGGCTTCGGAGCACTAGTGGCATACGAGTCGTGCAGCTTCGGTCTCACGGACTGTACCGTAAGCCTCACCTTCTCCAATTCGGAGGCCGTGACCTTGAGCAGCTTGGTCCCGTCGCACAGGTACGACCTCGAGGTGTCGTTGTACACCGCCAGACCCATGCTCTCCATCCAGCTCGAGATGGTGTCCGCCTTCCACTGAGACACCGGCTTCTCCGTGCTGATCAAGCAAAAAGACGGCAGAACCATGTCAGGGTTTTGCAAACGTCGCATAAGTTCGAGCAACACTTTTCCTGGGCCGGTCTGCTGCTGAATGTGGGTATCTCTCTCGGTGGCTAAGATGGCCACAAGGGGGATTTTGAGGCCACTTGACCGGCTCCGTGGGGACAAGAGACTAAAGGTACCATATTTTCCGGACTATAATCCGCACCCGGTGCATAGCCTGCACTTGGCGCCTAGTCCAAAAGTAAAAAGGATCAGCATGGCACGCCTTGACAAAGCCTGCTGTATTAGCTCACAAAGAAGCTTGTATCATACATAAATCAGCCTTAATATACTATATTATTCATAAAATCCTTCACGTCTTGTCACAGTAGCAAGTCCCCATGGGGTAAAATTTAAACTTTTAAACATGCATAAACCGCAGACTATAGTCCGGAAAATGTGGTAACTAGCATTCCAGGCAAATGGCTGCCGTAAATCTGTCCTCGCTTCGATTATGCAAATTCGATTTTGCTTGCCAAATGAGCATGAGCAGGCTCAAAAAGTAAATGAAATGATTCACATTCATGTATTTTAGGAGCAGCATATAAAGTTATTTGTGGGGAAGGATGCATTAAGCGAGAATTTAAAAAAACGACAGGCAAGGCTTATGTCGCTTAAATGGAGTCGGCTGAAACAATAGGTACTTTTTCATTCACGGAGCTAGTCACGTGACCTGAAAATCCCTCTTGCAGTTATTTGAACCACCGGGGAGATAAACCTGTATTCACCAGCAAGCCAGCCCAGAGGGACTCTTCCCGCTAGGGCCACTTTCCCCGGGTGCACTTCCCTGATCCCCATATCAATCGTACCCCAAAGGGACACATCCCTAGGGAAGATGAGCTATCAACGAAACAGTATCACTTCATGAGAGCACCTTCCGTAGCAGCGCATCTCGACTGACTTTTACTACATCATGGGACACACAAAGCGCGACACTCTTAGAGCAAACAAGCAGTCATCAGTTTTTCCTTGTTTTCTTAATTAAATTGAACAGCTGTTGTAAAAGCTATTAGTGTGGCCAAAAGCCCTCATTTGGAGCAGTAACCTAAGCGGTAAATTTTGATGCCCGCAAATACTCTCTCTGGGTAAAATAAAGGAAAGCCCCGAGGTCGTGATTGTGCCAACAGTGTAGTGCAGTGTACGTGCTCCCCCAAGGTGTATGTCGAAATCTCTACAAGGGTACTATCGATTTCCTCATAGGGACACTTTCCTGCCGATGCATCTCTTGCAGGAACATTCCCCACTCCGAGGGACACGCACTCTCCCAACAGATGCACGTCTCCATGCTTTCAAAAGGATGCCTCCACACAGAGGAACTTCCCCTCAAGAACACTCCTTTTGTCGAAACGCTGCCCTTGGGGACACCTCCTGATAAAGTTACTCACAAGTGGCTACTGTTCTGCGAAGGGGGCGCCCATCCCAGCCGTGGTCCCGCGGTCGCTCGAAGACCGCCACGATGAAAACTGTCCGACACGTCCATCGTGTGCGAGTTGCTCCTCTTCAGCCTGCGAGGAGGTTGAGATGACGAGGCATATAAACACCACCGCCGTAGATTGCGCATAGGCTCGTGAATAAACAATAAATTGATCAAATGCGAGCCTTTGGGTCCATTCACACACCTGCGTTTGCTTAGGAACAAGTTCTTGTGATCTCTTACGATGAGAACACACTGGCGCGCTGGCACCATCTATGAGAAGGCCTATCTATGAGGCGGCCATTGCTTGTGAAATTTGAAAGGTCCAGAGTTTATTTTTTGCTAAAAATTCAAGGTTTATCTGAGTTTTTTTTGTGTGTTTTTCTATACTATGAAGTTTTGAAGTTTAATTTTACTTTGTTTACAATTTTTCAAGATAAAAAATAAAAATAATTATTATCCGGACACAAACATACCCCAAATTCGTAAGAACATCACCTGTATCGAATGATATGCCTGCAGCCGCCCTTAGCATTGTAAATACTATCTGTCCCACGACAAATCTTGCAAAGAAGGGTCGCTTAAATTAACCCCTATACTTTGAGACAACTAAACACCTGGACTTTGTTGCTAGGAAGCAAAGAAGTGCCAGCTGCCCTGCCCCCCTCAGGCTCGTAGCTTTTGCCATTATAAAAACACGACCCCTTCTCCCTCTAAAATACGAAAATGGTATGATCCAAACAGGAAACCCGAGCAAGGGCTTTTGCCGTGACCCATACGAACGTAGACCCGTCGTTCCAATCGAACCTCGATGAGATGAACGGGAAACTCTCCTTTGTCGATAGTCCGAGATTTCAAAGGGAACCGAAACGGCCTCTAGTCAAGACCATCGACACTGTGCTCTCACAAAATTTATCCATCAAATACCGTATTTTTTCGCTTTTTATCTTGCCATCATGACCTCAAATTTAGAGTTTTTCTATATAAATTGGAATCGACAAAACCTTTACCGGCGACTGTTTTACCGAGTTTTCCAGATTTATCCCAAAAAAAGGAACCCTGTTCATAACATTGTCAAAATATTTTTGAGCCAATAAAGAAAGAATGGTGCGTGAAATAAATTTTAGCTATATGGAAATTGCACGCCCTACAGGTTACCCAACAGATGGCGCCAGTGTCTTCTCTTGTCGTTAGAAAGCCTCAGTTAAAAAGAATGCCCAACTCAAACCGTGGGAAGCATTTGCAATTTAATGGCGGACGCCTCCTGTGGAGATCGATTGCAAGTGTGCTTGCACTGCGTCATCGCGTGCTGAGGAGGAAAGTGGGCAGAAAGGCAGCGACACTTGCAGACGATCGACACTTTCGTTACCTCCTCCCAGCTCATATTGCAAACGCGGCCCGTAAACCATGTGACCTCGATCGAGCAGTTGGATGTTCTCTTTGACCTAACCTCTCTACTCGTACGAGATCGCGAGAACTCGTCAGAGATCGTGAGTGTGTGAACGTGCCTTTAGCGTGCGAGTTGGGGGCGAGCATGCGGGTTGTGCCGGAGAAGATCCGACCCACCTGCCGAACATCTTCTTGATTCCCCTGCTCTTGCTGTGCTTGAGTGTCGAGGAGGTCGAAGGAGGAGAGTAAGTCTGGCAGCCCGGTCGGATGACCACCAGTTCCGGCTGGGCTGGCGGTTCAGAGTCGCGCGGCGTAAGGATGCGCACACTGCAGTCTCTCAAAAACAAGCACCGAGGCTCAAAGCCTGACGCAATCTCTTCTCCACGCGAACGACGCAAAGCGCATCGCCGCTTTTAAAGGGGAGCTCTGGCAGACTTTCGAGCTACCTGAACAGAACGCATTTTCGGGATACCCCAAGCTTTGCTCTTTCCGGCACGCTATTTATTATCTCTAAATTCGAAATAGCAATCGAGGAAATGGCAAATGAAGACAATGCCAGAACCGACGTTCGAATTTTCTCACTCTCTACGGTAGGGCGATGTCGCACAACGTAAAATCAGCGAGTCGAGCGGGCGCTGTCTAAGAAACGCAGTATTTTGCGCACATTTTTCTTGTTTCAGTCGAATGGTCTTAACCGGCATGCATTTTACACCACTAAACTTCCCGTAAGTCGTCGGGAACAAACTGCAATGCCCTGCGACTATCAAAATTTCGCCAGAGCTCCCCTTCAAGGCCGGTCCGCACATTTGCATTTGAGCGCACCCAAGCATGCGGCACTTGCTTGTGATCCCTTACTACTAAAGTCCCTCGATAAAATTCATGCTTCGCATTTCTTACAAGTACTAACAACCATTGTAGCTAGTTATACGCAGAAGCGTTCTCCTGGTATCCGACAGACGGCGCCAACGTGTCCTCTCGTCGTAACCGGTCACGAGCGAATGCGGCATGCTCCGTTGAACTCAAACGCAAATGCGTTCTGAACCGCCCTTTAGAAGTTTGTAGAACGAAGAATAAGGTAACATTCAGCTGGAATTTGCCCTTGTGCCTCAGTTCACTTCCAACACTGGCAGCAGTCACCGGTGCTCGCCAGATTGGCCACTTTTCCGAGTTCAAAAGGAGTCTGCTAACGTATCTAAGGGTCGGGGTTCTGAGCAGCGAAGCGAAGGCGAACGTTACGTAACGCAAAACTGACAAACACGGACGCGAGAGCCAGCATTCTGCGTGCTGCCTCCTAAACATAGATTCACAAAAGCCGAAGCATTTCTTTAGCTTTGGTAGTGGTTTGGCAATGTCTTACGCATCCGTGAACTAGTACTTACATGACGGCAAAGACACGGTCGTCTGAATGAAGAGGAATCTTTTGCTCGGAAAAGAAAAAGGCATCCGAATTAAGAGGAACATTTTGCACGGCAAAGAAAAAGACAGAGGCGTGCACTGTGCCACAAATATGAGTAATAGACGTGAAACCAATGTGATGCCGCTATACACCAATTGAGTACCAATTGTGATTTAGGTAAGTGGTGCAGACGAGAAGTCAAATGTGACTATGATACAGTACCACCACCATGGACAATGGTACCAACATTATACCAGCATTGTGATGTTTCCCCGGCATGTACACAATACAATCGGACCAGTCAGTTTAAGGAACTCTGCAATGAAGTGACCAGGTAATGAAGTAATGTTACTAGACATCAGTAACTTTATATATACCATTTTGTCAATATTTCATTATGGTGCTGACTTCAACAAAGTGGACTTTGCATGATGACAATGAGTCACTTTATTACCAATACATATAATGTAGATATGGTGCCAATATGATGCCCATGCAATGCTAGAATAACGTTAACCTATTACCAAACTAGCCGTAGTGCCGTCATAATGCCGGTGTAATGCCAATACAGCACCGGTACCATATCAACATAACGTCGACGTCGACGACACATTACATCCGACATGATCCCGAGAAAATACTTTTGTTCAAGCCATCACAGATGCCGAATGGCCGTCTAGACAGATGCTCGATTCAGGAATCTAATGAGGCAGCATGCATTGACACAAACACCGAGACAGAAGCGAGCAGATGCGGGGAAGGGGGGAGGAGGGAGGACGTAAGAGAGAGAGAGGAGAGACCGTCACCTAGTTCGGGGGCGCTGCAGGTTCGCCGAGAAGACCGCAAGCGGAAAAAGCCTTTACCGAACGACACGCCCGTCGAGCTCTTGCGCGACCGGTAGCTGCCCCCCGCGGAGTCCTGTGCTTCGGCCGGCCGCTCTTCCGGCACCTGCAACTTCACCTGGTGGCCGTGGTTGCGCGGAAGGCTGTTGCTGTACTGCCGGGCCCCACCAGCCTTTAATGACAGGAAAAAACTAACACTGTTTTGTTTGCCACATGGTACGTACAACATCGACTTGCTATAGACCAGGGGTGGCCAAACTACGGCTCACGATCCGCAAACGGCTCTTCGCAAGTCCAAATGCAGTGCGCGACTCCCTGGTAAGCATGCACCCCTTTCCTTCCTGTGTCCCCAAGAGCAAAAGAGTTCTAGAATTTAAAATAGAAGCTCACGGTCTTGGCAGCCTTGTACTACAATACATACATACAGCTGGACTGCTTTTTGACACCACAATGTGTCCAGCGACCCGGTTTCCTTCATTCCTTTATTGTTCTAGAAAGAATTTCGAACCGTATACACATAACAGGGGTCAGGGACAGTGGCTGGCTAGCGAACCATACATTCATTTTTGCTTAGCAGTTGAAGACACATTCTGCTGCCAGGTGTGATTTGTTGTAGTCGACAATTTTACTTGTCCCCTTTGGAAAGGACTGTCCCCTCCACATCATTTCTTGTTAAAAGAACCCCCCCTTTTCTTTTTCCAATGGCTCTCTGAACTTTTGTAGTTTTGTCCGTGGCCCTAACTTCCGTGCCACTCTGGCTACCCCTGCTATAGACCATTCCACTAAGGGATTTCTGTGCTGCGTCATTTTGTTGGACTGCAGCACCATCTACATAATTTTGGGAATTTCAGTGGAATCACCAGGGTAAATGAGGGCAAGGGCGTGCGGCCCGATAGCAGACGATAAGCCGGCCGCCCTCCACAAGCATTTCAATCGATTCGGCGGGTAGAAAAGAGCGAAAGGGCACATGCCATTCTCTTCGCTTGGGCAGTTCCGGTGGACTGTACTGCACAAATACGAAGCCCCATTCCCAGAGTTGGGGAGTGTTTTAAGTACAATGTTCTTAAAGTACTACTTTAAGTATAGGTTTAGAAAACTTGTACTCTACTTTAGGTGAGTACTTGTATTTTACTTAAAGTATTTTTCCTGGTACTTTCGGAGCAACATACAACTCCCAACTTCAAAGTCCATTCCCCATATTCCGTGAAACCTTTTTGCCATAGAGGTGGGGCATAATTCGTAACTTTCACGACTTATAGGGGGCGCACTGGTGCCTAACAAAATGACTGTCATCTGAATGATCGTCGCAGAACGGCAGTACAAGGCTGGGTCTGCGGCGTGCAAGTAATTTTAGTTTTGCTATATACGGGCAGTATTGGAGCCTTACTTTGATTTTTCACGCCAGCAAGGTGTAAGTAAACACATTCATTGCGAAGCCGATCATTCAGGAGCTAGAGAGCGCGATTCTCACACTGCGGTACCACCGTCGTTAAAAGTTGCGAATAGACCTAGTGGTAGACAAAGGGCACAAAAAAGTATTTTGGGCAAGCTGAGATTACTCTGTTGTTTTCGACATCCACTGCCCAATCTTTTTTCTGTTGGCGTGCGGATTTATGGTCCTGTCGCCAAATCGGTAGAAAATCACCAAGCTGACGTGTGTCCGCAGGAGCGCGCTTCCACGGAAGTCGTTTCTTTTGTCGTTCTCAGAAGGTAATAATTATACTTTGTGCGTTCTGTAAAGTGCTGAGAAAGGCACGGGGACGAGCGCGTCGATCTGGGTAGTGCCTTCTTGCACTCAATGAAAGTAAGCTGTTTCAAGGACCACACACTCGCGTCCTTGGCTTGCCCGGTACTATACTACACAATTTTTGAGGTCGACTATAAGAGTTCACCAAACTTTAACAAAAAAAATAGCGTATCGTCATTATGTGAAAACGTGCTACCGTCTTTCGAGACATCATCCGGTCATTTCTCTGAGTGAAGTAATGGAGGCTATTAGACCGATACAAATGAGTGCCTTATAAGTTGATTGTGGTAAATGTAGTTTGTCAGCGAGAGTAGGACCACTCTGAGGTCACTTGACTCTATCCAACATTTGTTGCCATTTCCACCAAAGTTTAACTGACGCACCCCTGATTACCCCTAAGGCAATGCATACCAGTTAGGTAAATAAAAATATACATATATATTTAAGGGAATGAAAAGGCATTAAAGGTTGTGTCAAAATGTACTTGTAGTGTTTCTTGCAAGTATATTGTATTTATAATACTTTACTTCAAGTACATTGTGCCCAGCACATAACGTCTAATTAACTTTGTACTTTGTTTGACTTTGTTCCTCCTCCATCCTTCCACTCAACGAACCACCCCACGAATTAGTGTCTCGTTAAAGGGACACTGACAGGGTATTTATGCTCGCCGAGGTTTTTAGTTGTACGTGACATATGAGAGCTCAACTACCCAGAACAGAATTTGCGGCTCGAAATTCGGTTTCTTTCCGCCCGAAAACCGCCGATCAAGAACTGGCCGGTTCGAGTCTCGCTCACTCTCTTTTTCGCGGTCACGGACCGTTTTCTAAGGTATCGATGCGACCACCAAATTTAATCAAAGTCGTGGGTCACTGAAGGCACACACTCAATATTAAAAATAGAAAAAAATATGAAACCCATTTTTTGCGGCTTCTAAAAAGCTGCAAATACGTTGATTGAAAAAAAAAGTTCCACAGACAACCGGAAACATTCTGTGCGTGCGTCGTTTCGCGTATCGTGGGACTCGCGGGGACGGCGATGGCAGCGGACGACGGGCGTGGGACCTCTATTTCAGAACTGTCGTTCGCGGTACCGGCGAATTTTGTCTGCCTTTAAAAGAGAAATTTGGGACTGGCCAAAAGAATTGGTATTCATCCCGTACGACACGCCCGACCACCAAGCTGATTTGCACGAAGACGTCGCCGAGCCGTCGCTCCCTTCTTGAGGTTGAAGACATCGCTCGCGCAAACGTCAAGCGCGACGTGTCTACTTCGAGTTGAATAGGCACGCGTACGATTTCTTTACTAGGTGAGAATGTCGCCAATGCGTGGTGCATGCCGACTTCGACCCGGGAGTGCTTTTGCTAGAGGAAAATCGGCAGAAAACTTTCCAACTTAGTTTATCGGCTGAAGTATTACTAAGGAAAGAGATACAGCAGTTTCGGTATGCCCCAGTAGCTCAGTGGGAAAGACGTCCCCTTCACACGCGGTAGGACCGGGTTCAATCCCCCGTAAAACGAATTTTTTTTTTTTTTTTTTTTTCAAATATTTTTTGATGTTTACATTTCTGTTTTTTTTTACAATTATTACTGAAGAAACAAACAAAAAAGAAATATAAGAAACAAATGTTGTAAACGGCACGTCGCTGAATTAAATGGTATGGGATTTCCTTTTTGACACCTGCGAACTCAATGTAATCACTTTCCACAAAATGCAAGGAGCATATAAATCAGGTAGCGTCCGCTTTCCGAGGTGCCCGTAAATGGTCTACAGGAATTGCAGCCAGCCATTGGTCCCGATCCCGTTGATCTTTCGGAAACTCTGTCGCACAATGCCACTTCTGTTTCGGACGCGGGACATGTGAGCCAGCTCTTCACGCAACATCTTGGGTGTATTCTTTTCGGAGCCGATCAAGATTCACCACGGGCACTCACTACTCATCTCCAACTCCTCAATATACAAAACAACTCATCTTGGAGTACAGAACAACGAGCGGAACATACATAACTGCAAAAGAATCCCACGGCGAGCAGTTCCCATACGCCGCATGTCGTCTGCTACCGAAAAAAAGAAAAAAACAAAAAAAAAAAAAAAAAACACACGGTCGGGTGTAGCCACGTGACTTCCGCCACTCACTCTCTTCTCTCCACTTCTCCGACCTCCGTCGGGTTTCGGTTTCGGTTTCGAGCAGTTGCGTCTTTTGGTTTTATTAAAAAAATACGCTACTCTGTTGCAAAATATTAATTGGGTAGTCCTCCGACACCATAATGAAGCGCCTGGCAAAAAATTAAAAAAAAATTTTGGGGGGTGTCAGTGTCCCTTTAATGTGGACCCTGTTAATATGGATATCCCACGACAGTAATGTTTTGTTAAGACGGACACCTGCATTTCCCCCGAAAAGCATTCTTAATGTGAGTTATCCGCGATACCGAGACAAGGATGCACATATTTGCCCAGTTGGTCCCTGAAAATGCTGTCTATATAGTGGGATGTTCATATTATTGGGGGTCTTTATTAATGATACAAGACTATATATCAGCAACATCTTTGGGGACGAACTAGGTAAACATGGACATTTTTGTTTTATTATGAAGTATAAACCACATGCAAGCGATTTGGTGAGCAACGAGACAAGCGACGGCGACGAGGACCCGCTGTCATTCGGTCAGTCACAGACGAGGCAAACCGCATGAAAGCGACGGGAGCAAGCGACCACTTTTTAGTGTTGCCCGGGTGCGCGCGGCTTGCGAACTGTAAATCTGGCTGCATGCAAGAAGAACATTAAAATATGTCCACAATTTTGCCTGTTTTTGACATTCAGGCCCGCTCCGTGTGCAGCGAATCGCAGCACACGGAGCGCAACTCTCATTTGATGAAACCAGCACTAAGCATTGTTTTGGAAACAATTTCATTTTCACTCACCGTTCAATCTGAAGGCCGCAGCAACGCAACTCCACACAATAGCTTTTCAATTTTGTACTTTGTGCGGGACATGTCTCAAAGGATCCTCTCTCGCCCCACCACATCAATGAGGCATTCATTGAAGTGGTGCTTGTCGTCAGGGCTGCTACCCATCGGAGCCAATGATCAAATAATCGCTTCAGCCACTTTTGGGCGGTGAGCGACATTTTCTAGAAATCCAGAGCCGGGCGACGGAACGAGCAATAGTGAGAAATATCTGTCGCTCGTCGCCCACTAAATCGCTTACACGCAGTTCGGCCTTTATGAACTCGGATTGTCAACGATTTTTGGCAGAACGGAGGTGTCCGTGTTAACGAGATATGACTGCTAATCGCATGTCCACATCCCCATTCTCAAACAGAGCCCAAAGAGCTCGTATGCCACGGTACCATGTGCATGCCGTCGTCGCTGTTGGCTCGGTGTAGGCTTTGCAAGGGCGTGCTCGCCCTCAGAGCAGAGTGGTTCGAAGGCAGGGTGGCCGACGCACTGCGGGGGCACATCGGAGGCTTCTCTGTGAGGCGTGCCTCCCGTTCCGAGCACTGTAACAGATCTGGCATTAGACTTTATTCGCGTAAAAAGAGATGCCGGAATAGTCCGACAAAATATCCGCAAGATCAATGAGACACGTGGCGAGTTCTCACCATTTGCTTGTCGCCACTGCCATCACAAGACACCGGTGATTTCTCCTTCCAGTCGAGCCCCGGTCCTGCGTTTAGGATACGCCGACTTTCAGATCCGCTTAATCTTGCAATGATGCCCGTAATCTCTGCTGTTGTTGAAATTGATTTAAATGCCTGCAGTACTGCACCCTAACTAATTCAAAACATTTTCCGTCTTGAATCGCAGTTTATTAGTGTACAGAAAGCCCCGAGGCACTTTCACTTGCATCGCACTCACAGTTGCCCACTAAAACTTTTGAAGTAGTAAAAATGACACTGATCTGCGAGACAACATTGAAAAACGTTATTTCCAATGTTGAAAGACCACTGCTTTAACTGAATGCTCCAGCACGGAGGAGAATGGTTGTTCGCGGGACGCAGGCGAACACGACACTTCAGGTCGGGACGGTTCGAAGGCAGAAGAGAAACTCGGGTTTCAGGACTACTCAATCTTTGACGTCACTGCACTAGCGCGGATCGTGTGGGAACTTCAAATTTAGCTTTTGGAAATTGTACTTTTACTTCGCATATACTGTGTTCCCCAGCTTAGAATGTTGGGGGTTATGTCCAGGCATTGTTTCCAATTGTTTCGGATAATAAAAAAAAATATCATTTTGACCTGTCAGTGCGCTTTTAAATGAAGGTCAAGGCTTGCAAATGCTATGGAGACACCACTTTTAATAAAGAAAATTAACATGGTGCCAAGAATGTCTTCCCTAAATGCAGTGATGTGGCATAACTCACCAAACTTGGTAGGGGTCGAGCGAAGACCACTGCCATCGCCGACCGAAGACACAGAGCCGTGATGAGAGATCTTCCCGCACTTTGTGATGAGTTCTGCCTCCCGCTCGGCAAGGTAAGACCTCAGAAGGACAACGTCTGTCTGTAAGGATTTGCCACAAACATCACACTAAGATTAATACTGCTAAGATTTTGTCTTTGTGTCTTGTGATCATATTTATCTGGTTCTGCAGGACAAGGCCGCCAGGGTAGAAGAAAGAGGCATTTGTGTCTGACCAGTTCTCTCCGTTCATTGCAGTGCAGAAATGGTACATCGAAAACTGAATAATAACTGCACAATAATCGGAAAACAACAAGAATGCATGACAAGCAAAAAAAAAATACTTAGGCCAAATAGTTCAAAATAGATATTCTAATACTGTTTAAAACAGGATGAGTGCATAGTAGAGTACTAGTATATTACTCCCAAGAGTAAGAAAAATAAATGTTGAAAAGAGGAGGATTGTAAAAATAAGATATGTTTCAATAATACACACATACAGTAGACTCATTTATTGAAACTCCAGGAAGCCAGAAATTTTGTTCGAATTATCAGAAGTTAGAATTTTCAGAAATTCATCTAAATATGATGCAAGACAAAGTTATGATTTGCCATATGAATGGCTACACAAAGCAGATATTTGATAATTTCCTCTACATAGGCCTACTGACCATAAGCAGGTGATCATAAGCACTACTGATCATAAGCACAAATGTATGACGCAAGTTTATTTACTTATGATATCTAAAAAATGTTGCTTATCGAGGACCGCTAGACAGCACATGACAACTCAAAACAAAATTAAGTTTGTTCATCAGGCCAAAAAGTTGTCTAATGTGGACTATTGAGCAGCGGACATACATGAGCGATGAAGACGGGCATTGCACAGCAGTTCTCATAACAACTTGCGTGGACGCTGTGACGTGGACGTATGCCATGCCACCACGTCACAGCATCCGCGCAAGTTGCCACGGCAATTTCCGCGTGGTGCCCGTTTTCGTAGCTCATGTGTGCCCTGCTTGAGCCACGTTGAGTGCGCTTCTTGCCGAGCACCGGTGCACTGCGGAGAAGCAACACCTGTGGAAGCAAGCTCCACGAGTGTTGCCTCTTTCTAGCGCACCGGTGCTCGGAAAGAAGCGCACTCAACGGGGCCGTGAGAACAAAAAGTATGAATTGCACAAAAGCGCCGTTCAAATTAAGCAGTTTATTAATATAATAAAAACACAGATAGACAACCAAAATTTTGAAATTTGTTTGAATTAACTAGAAGATTGAAATATCTGAGTATGAATTATTGCGAGCCTACAGTATAGTGCTGTAGACACTACAACCTTCAATGCACTTTTGCTTGTTTCTAACACATTAAATAAGTGTAACACGGCTACAGCACTGAAAAATCTGAAGCACTGATACTCACATAGAAAAATATATCAAGTGAGTACAGATCTTGCATAGCTTCTGACGGGACATAAAAATGAAAGTATTTTCATGTTCTGGCTTGCAAAGATTTACTGTTGCTTGCCAAGGAAATTGTTTTTCTCCACTGTTACCGATCCACCCTGCTTTTGCCTATGACGGCCCAGTCAGGGTGGATCAATTTAGTTCTAATGTAAGCGAATAAATAAATAAATAAATGTGTAAAACTCGTCTATAGGGTGCGCATTCCACTAGGGGGCAGCACCTCACCTCCAACTTCTTGACTTTGCTCTCGAGCTCGGACTTCTCCCGTTCGGTTGTGGCTACCTTCAGCTTCAGTGCCGGTATGTCGGCTAGAATGTCCAGGCGGTCAGCCTCAATCTTCTTCTTCAGCAACACCTCCTGGGAGGGTAACAATTGAATTGTCACAAAAACATTTTTCCTGGAAGTAACAAGGCATGTATGGGATGCGCTTCCCTGCAGTGCTGCCTTATACTGCAAAGAAGCATGTACAAAAGAACATTCAGCAACCTGTGCTCGCGAAAGGCTATCTGTGGCATCCCGGAAGAATTAAAAATTGCATCCCAGAAGAACCAAAAAGCACACACATGCAGCAAATAAGTGCAGAAGTGATCATAGCTCTGACATGACTGCCACAGAATGTTGTCACCAGGTATGGAGATCCTTCTCTCCCTGTGAAGGAGCAACGTTTAGACAATCAACAGCTGCATTCAAAACGCTTGCCACCGAGAGTCGCGTAGAGATAACGTGCATCGAGGATAGGTGCACCTTGTGGCATAGAACCTAAGCTAGCTTAACCTCCTTTCATACTCCTAAAAGCCACAATGCGAGAGCTTCGCTTTGGAACATGTCTCGGCGGTACAGGTGGGGATGCCTGCTGGAGCCATGAATGAATGTCATTCGATGGACCAAAGTAACTGCAGCCTTAGTTTACAGCTATCCGTGAGGTAAGGCACACCTGCTTGAGAAGATGCTCCGTCCTTTCCAGAAGCTGCTTCTTCTCGGCCAGAGCTGCCTCCAGTTCCAGCAGCTTGTCCTTCTGCAGCTCGAGCTGGTCGGTGAGGACACTCACCTGGGTATGAGGCAGACGCGGACTAGTGAAACCCCCAGCTCGACAAAAATAAAAGACACATGCAGAAGAAAAGAAAATTGTTTTGAACATTTTAGATGGAAAAGGAATGTCATAAAACAAATTTACAACGAAAACAAATAATTTCAGAGCTACATTTATGGCGCGAAACGACTTTCAGCTGGCACCCGCTGGAGCTGCCACTGGTCACGTGGTACACCAGTGTGCCACCGCGCTGAGCTGCCGCCGCCACAAAGTCGTGCCGCCGCTGCACGCTGAGCATGGTGCGCCACTGGTTGAACGCGTTTCTCCACGCTGCCGCCGGAAGGGAACATTCTAGCGTGCCATCGCCGTCAATTTCTGACCGGCACACAGGTCTATCCCATGGTGCTTGCACTCTTTAAGGAGTTTCCTTTGGGCTCTAAAAGCTACTTATTAATCTTTGTTTGTTGTTACACTTCAAACGAAGATTAATTAGTAACTTTTAAAGCCCGTATGAAGCTCCCGAAAGAGCACGAGCACCACGTGACCGTAGTGGCCACTTTTCTGCAAGCTCCTGTGGGTGCCAACTACAAATTTGCTTCGCGCCGTAAATATACCTCTGAAAATTTTCTTTTGTTGTTGTAAATTTGTTTTATGACATTCTTTTCCCATCAAAGCTGTTTCAACAATTTTTTTTTTTTTTTTTGCTTTGCATGTGTTTATTAAGGCTGGTTCGCACATTTGCGACTCCTTAAAAGGAAACCCTGGTCTTGAATTTTTTTCCTAAATTTCTCGCTCAAATTATATTGAATTCTTATATCTACTATCTGCTCATGGTTTTTATATCTTCTACGGGTAATAAAAAAAATGACAGCTTTATTGCAAATATTTTTGCCCTAATTTTCACAATATCCTTATCAAAAACTATGATGTACAATATATCTGCTTGTTCTACAAACAGTACAGAGTGCAGCAATACCATACTTATAATTTTAGCACTATTCTAGAAAAAGGTACCACAAGCTCAAATTTTTTTGCCGATGATTAGCAATGAGTACTTAAAGTCTTTGCCAGCTAGAAAACTTTGTAGTTAACATTTTCTAAAAAAATGGGCAAAGCTCTGTGCTGTGACTAAAAAATGAATTGAGAAAACAGGAAAAGATTTTCAAAACTTGCTCGTAAACACTCCGACTATGAAACTTTCAATCAATCTAACTTTATAAGCAAGAACTTCTTAAATGTAGTAATAAAAAATTCAATTCTCTAACATTCAACTAAAAAAAAGAAAAAAAATTTGACATTTTGCCGTACGATGGTACTTTTAAGGAATATTTTTATCAGCATCTAAAACCAATGTCCTTGTTTGAGGACAATCTCTCTTTCGTTCCCCCCGAGAGATGGCGCTAGGCGCCTGCTCTTGCAAGCAGGAGAAGAAGTCAAAATGATGGGATTCCTGTTCGAGCAGTCCGAAGTGTTTGAAAATCAGTTTACGAGATTTTGTGACCTCTTTGAACTTTTTAATGTAAACGAGATTGATTGAACCTAAAGACAACATCCCTTGGAGTCATTTAAAGCATGTTGTGAACATAAAAAACAAGTTTTGAAAGAAATAACATTCTTTTCAACTTTGTGTCCACGTAGGTGGAGAAAAGTTTGGAATGATGAGAGTATGTTTTTCTTCTTGGTACTCTACAATGCAGATTCTCACGGACGAGGAAATAGCTGCAATCTTGTACAAAAGCGATACAGATCTCTCGGACGCGGAGGACCCAGAATTTGCGATTTGCACACGCCGGAGAAGAAAACATGTTTCTGGAAACAAACTATGTATGTCTATATTGTGTTTTTGTTCTGGGTGAAAGCTTACTATTTTTGTTCATTTTTAGGTTTCAAGCACATGATGTTCCAGCAGATGAAGATACGGGAGAAGAGACAAGTCGTCAAAAGCTTCTTTCACCTTCACCAATATTTCATGAAGTACACTTTTCAGCAGACGTTCGAAAAGAATGCGCTGGAGGGACGAAACTTGTACTCTGTACAAAAATGTAATCACCGCTCGGTGAAAATAAACATTGTGGAGGTGAAGAAGCTTGCCGTAATCCGCCTTCTAATGAGTGTAATGAGCCTTCCTCAGGTTTACATGTACTGGTCCCGGGGAACCCTAACACCACTGATTGCAGACGGCATGACTCGGAATAGTTTTTTTTAGCTCCGCAGTCACCTCCATTTCGTTGATTCTTCCGTCAGAACGGATGAACAAAAAAAAAGACCAGCTGCATCTGGGGCGTTCTGTTGTTGATTGCTTCCAAAGTTCCTGTCGTTCACTGCCAAGGACAACTTGCGTCTCAATTGATGATCAAATAATTCCGTTTTCAGGAAGGTGTGGCTTTAGGCAGTACAATGTAGACCGCATATAACGTATGTCTCGGGAGTCGCGAAAATCCGCACTATAAGCGGTACCGCACTATAACCAAAACATCAATTTTTCAGGCCAAAATACATGCCATGAGACAACTTACCTTTGTAAAATAATTTATTTTATGTTAGATGAAGAAATAAGCTTAGTTTGAGGAAAGTCTTTATTTCAATAGACTAGTACAGTTACGTCTCAAGTGTGTCACACATTTTAAAAGAAATTAGCGGCTTTTGCCTGGCGCAGCCTTTTAACGGCGTCGCGGGTTGCGGACGGACGTCGCGAGCGTTCAGGATTGCTAACCCTAATCACTTTTCTCCGGAGATGAAAACGCGTGAAAATTCGCATCCTTCATACGGTACGTGCCAGTAATACCTTGAACTTGAGCACACGCATGAAATGCGCCAAATAAGAAATCCGGGCGATGTTCGAGGACACAAATGCTTAGAAATCACCACAGTAGTCGAAGTAAACAAACACAACGACACGAGCGTTTCTGCCGTACTGAGAGCACCGCCACGACATCGCCGCACGAGTAGGTGGATCTTCCTTTCTAGTACGTGCTGGGTTATAGCGACACACAACGAAAATTCAGAGTCAAGGATAGCGCTTTCACGCAGAACGATGAGATGCATGCCGTCTACGACGACGATCACAACCGACGCCCGCGACCGGCATGCAATGCGCGCGAACACTTCTTCTCGACCTGGGATTGGTCTGTTGTTGCGGTTGTTTGTTTCTTTGTTTCCAACGCAGTGGAGGGACGCACGCACGTGAACGACTCGTGCGTGCGTCCCTCCGTCGCTACGACAACTGAAGCCTCTCTCCTCGCTTCTCCCCGCGTTTTCCAGCAACCTCCTTGCCCCGCGAGTGCAGTTTGCGGCTCGCGCCGTCAGCGCCGTTATCTAGTGTCGCACAGGGAAGCGAGCTCGCTGCTCCGGTCGTCAGCGCGGTCGGCGGGCTGTGCCAAAAACCGTACTATAACCGGTATTTCCCTTCGCGCGCCTGCATTTTAAGCGGTATGTAATTACATGGAGTTCTATGGGAGGTGAACCGGTGGTTTAAAAAAACCGCGTTATACCCGGTCCTGCACTATAAGCGGTTACGTTGTAAGTGGTCTATACTGTACCTGCCTTCGAAAACAAACCCAGCTGGACTGAAAAATTTTGTTCTTGCCTCACCCAACGGCTTGATACTTGACTTGCTCATTTACGCCGGAAAAGACACGGTCGTAGATGCTGACATGAAGGTGTTTGGCCTAGGCAGCGAAGTCGTGAAGAAGCCTACAGAGGCTGTCATCAGCAAGAATGCACAGGTCTTCACGGACAGATACTTCACAGGACTTGAAAGGAGCAGAACGCCTTTTGGCAGATAACAAATACCTCACTGGAACAGTGAATGCGAACCGCAACTGAGGGGTGCTGCTGCGAGTCTTCCAAAGCAGAAAGACACGAATCACGGGGAAGCAGTCCCTCTTGTGCGTGAAGACGAAAAGGTGTGCCCTGTAAAGTGGAGGGGCAAGGGCGTTCTGTTCCTTTCAAATGCTGTAGGCACAAACCAAATAGGTTCCTGCAAAAGGTGATCGAAGGAAGATGAAAAAAAAATTTCAATTTCTCAGCCAGCCATTATCACTGAGTACAACAGTTGTATGGGAGGGGTCGACCTCATCGACAGATTTATTGCGTACTACAGAACGTCAGTATGAACCAAAAAGTGGACAGTTCGAGTGTTCCCTCACTTCCTTGACATGGTCGTCTGCAATGCGTGGATTAAGTTCCTCCGTGACGCTCAAGCTCTCAATGTGCCTCAAAAAGATTGCCTCCCACTCCTGGCTTTCAAACAAGATATTGCAGAGATGTTAACCAGAGCCAACCTCCCGAATGCCGGTCAGACCTACGAGAGAGTACACCAGTGGCAGAAAAAATAAGGGCAGTTTAAGTGCCAAAGACAAGCGGAGAGATGGCTTTGGTCATTTCCCAGACTATTGCAAAACTCGAAAATGCCATACGATGTAGAAACAAGAACTGCAATGGGAAGACCATAGTCAAATGCATAAAATGCAATGTATTTCTTGCCTTCAAGCAAGGGATCGTCTCTTTGAGTTGCACAACCCTCACAACTAATGTCCACATTCATGGACAGCTTTGTTGGGCCTGAAGGCAACACTGTATGTGCCTAATTTTTTTTTACATAGACTCTTGGCAAGCTGTCCGATGAGGTTTGTCATACAGTTGTTACTTTTTATGCCTACTTTTTTGTCGGTAGTGAAGAGGCTAAAATCTTATGCCAAGAGAACCCCACTGTTGGGTGACATTAAATTGCGTGACATTTGCGTCTTTTTTTTTTTTTTTTGCACATCATTCTCACTTTTTTTGGCTCGAAACACTTTTGACAATGTCATGAACAACCATTGCTCTGAGATAGTATGTATGTTTCATCTCGCATATGCCGCAAAACCTTCACTGTAGCGGAATGCAGTTCCAGGGCCACCTGATAGATGGCGCCAGTCGTCAGAGATATCAAGAGCTCGGTCGTACGAAAACACAAGTGTGCGAACGAGCCACGAAGGAACGAACAGAGAAGAAAGAGGCAGGCATACCTGGAGTGCCAGGTTTTCCTTCTCGCTCTCGAGGTGGGAAACCTTGTCCTGCAGGTCGCCGTAGTCACCAGACACCGGAGTCTGCAAGGAGCAAGGAGCACCGGTCAAAGCAAGTCGTCCGTGCAGCCTTCATGCACTAGCAACGCGTGTCTAGGTTACGAGCGAGTAACAACACGGGAATAACCGGATGGCTCAGTTACGAGATGACTACACCGTTGGCAATGGCCCGCTGAAGATCTCGACTACAGCTTTTGAACGGATGATGCTCGAGCATTTTGGACAAATGCCTGAGCGTTGAAACTTGGGTGAGTGGGCTCTGCATCATAAAATTAAAAACGGAGTGAAGAAGGACGAACGAGTATATGAACACAGACAGAGCGCTCAGCTCTGTCTGTGTGCATCTAACCGTCCTTCGTCCGTCTTTGCACCATTTTAAATTTCAAAAGTCCACAGCCTTGTTTCCAAGAATGCAGATCTACAACACAAACACCTAAGTGACTCCTATGTCATTGGCATTGCTCGGTATGCTACGATGATCGAGGAAAACTGCACTGTGTTTAGACTGCAATAAAGAAATGTATGTTATGACTGCTCACACTTGCAAGCCCCAACATGTAGAGACCCTATCAAGCCCATATTAGCAACTGCTGTTGTTCCTAGAACAATGCATTTGTTTTCTTTCAAAGCTGTGACCTTGAATCAAGCATGCTTTGGAAACCACTTTTGTGGGCAGAATAATGTGATGGACTTATTGCGAAGTTATTAAACAAGATAATCAATGGCACGCAATCCTATGGTATAGGCCAGCGATACTATGCAGTGATAGCTTTGGGGCTCATTTCTCTCCCTGAAAATGCTCCTCGTGAAAATATAGACTTACTAAATGGTATCTGATGGTGTTCCAAGAAGAGCTGGTGTCATCATTATTGGAACCAATCAGTTAAACTTGCACTCTTTAGAGATAGGAAGCACAATTTTGCATAATGAGACAGAATTTTATGAATAGCTTTATGCCTAAAGTTGAATATCTTTGTTGATGTGAGAGAAATACTTATTGATGTCCATTTACAGATTTAAAAAAATTAAGGTATCCACAATACCAGATTCACACCAACCCCAATAAAGTATCAGTCAGCTTGTGCACTCCGGGCGCCGCACACCGTTCGCCGCTAGGAACGCAACAGGCGCACCGCGCGGCTTTTTCTGTATCGAACAGGATCCAAGCGACGCCACAACGCGTGGAAGTGACGTAGGGACGCCAGCGCCGGTTGCTACGATACTGCCGCACGGCGCCCGTTTTCATCGCTCATGTGTCCTCTGCTTAATAGTTCAAGTGAAGCTCCTCCTATCTCTTTCCACTTTAGCAGAGCAAACACTGGAGAGGAGGTCACCTCTTAACCTGTCACAGACTATAAGCAAGTCATTGCCAAGTGGCAAACCAATGTAACGTAGACTGCCGCTAGTAAGAATGATCCCAAACTGTCATACTCTATGCTTGCAATTACCCAGTGAACGCCACCATTAATCAGTCTTACTATTTCTTTTCCCGACACACAAGGCTGCTTCCGACATGAACTAGCTAGCTGGCCATGACGTAGCAGAGATCATACTTTATGCGAGGCTCAAGAGCCACCTCTACAACCGTATGCAGAAAACCAGTAGTCCTCGGAGACACACCTTACACCGGGACCCGGCCCAGGTGGGACAAGGGCTCTGCGCACCGCGGTCCATGCAGCCATGCCCACAGTGCGCACTCGAGCCCCAGCACGCGCAACACGGCGAGGACACCTTCCGCGGTATCCCAGCAGGGGTGAACGTCCGACACCCCATCTGACACCCGTGACCTCCGCAAGGGGGCGGCGGTGGCCTCAAGTCTGCCGGATGACCCCCGCTATGGTTCCCCGAGCAACAGCACTGCTGGGACGCCGCGGCGGCCGCTATCCACGGCTGCGCGGCCGCGACGACCGCCAGCACGTGCGGGTCGTAACAGTCCAGGCTGCGGCGTTCTTCCCAGCGCGGCGGAGGGTGCGGCGACCTCCCGCGCTCCTGGTGGTCCCTGAGGGCAGCCGGCGGCCGACGTCGCCGCACGGGCCTCCTGTACTCGCTGGGGACGTCGGTCCAGTCCAGGTCGGGGCCCCCGCGACTCGGGTTTGGCGTTGGCGTCGTGTCGTCGTCATCGTCGTTGTCTTTGTCGAGGTCGTCCAGGCGACGTCGCGCCTGAGAGCGCTGCAGGGACGCCGACCAGGGCGTCGAATGGCCCGACGTGCTGGTCGAAGAGTTGGTGACGTCGTCGGCCGGGTCGCCCGTCCACATCGCGGGGCTTCTACTCCCGCCGCTATTGGGCAACTTTGGCGTGCCGTAATACATGCCGGATCATCGTAGGCTCGACCCCGAAAATACCCAAAGCGTCATCAAACCAGAAAGCAGGAGTCGGTCAAAAGTCGGCTCTCGCAAAACACCCGGTCGTCTGCTACCAGCGTTTCGTCGTCTGCTACCCGATGACGCAGCAGAAGTGGCGCGGTTTCGTTCTTCTCGTTGTCGCCTCACTCCGTCCCGAAGTACGACAAATCGGTGCGAAGGCATCACTCACGGAAGTCGACACGATTTCCAAAGGAACACCGAGAGCAAGACGGAAACGGTCCCCGTTGCGAAAACCATCCGGCATCCTCAGGCGCAAAGGACTCGTCGAGAAAACGCGCACGCGGCGCAGCCGATCTTTAGCGCCGGCACTTAGCGAAGAAAAAAAAAATGCGCACAGATCGTCTCCCGTCTTAGAACCCGGGATAGATGCTCGATGCGACACCCACAAAGAAACAAGAAAAGCGTACAAATAGAAGTCGATATCGGTCGGTTCGTCGTCGAGAGGCGCGGTTTCGAAAGTGGCGTAGCGCACGGCGGCAGCGAATCGTCGGCGCTCACGTGAGAAGGAAAGAAGAGCAAGAGCGAACGTTAGTGCTCCTCGAGGGACGGATCCCACTTTTTCGCTAAGTTTAGAACGCAGACTCAGGGGGCCCGCGGGCTCCTCAAATAGAGCAATCGAGAAGCTTCCTCCATCTCCCCCATCCTGTGAGAGCCGTTACTACCTCCACCCCTACACGAAACGCCGTCGGAGTACGAGGCCCGTGCTCCGTTTTCACCCCTCTCCTCGGCCTTCTCCGCGCGCGCGCGCAACTTTTAATAACTTTTACCGATTTCCCCGATTTCTACACAAGACAAACAAACGGCCCGTCCGTTTACGTCGTCAGCAGACTCCCCCGCGAAAGGAAAGCCACCGTCGCGGCGACGAACCCTCGAGCGCGAAACCGAAAATAATTTCGCCCGCCAGGAGAAACTGCCGCGTCGTCTGCTACTTTTAAACGCGCCTTAAAAGGTACCGTTATTGCGCCACAGGAGTGTGTGTTTCCGCAAACACGGGCTGGCGGCAATGTACGCGTAATTTGTCTCCAACCGAGCTATTTAACGTTTTACGTATTTACTCTGCGCACGCTGTTGATATACTTTTTTGGTGATCTCATGAACGGAAAGTACCACTTCAAAAATCACTTGCCGCTTAGTTTTTCGAGAAATAAAAGGAAGTGGCTGACTAATGTTTGTTTATTTCCGTGAGTATGGTATGGTAACTCGTAAACTCGGAGCCGCCCCCAAAAAAAATTGCGTACAGGACAAGAAAGAGCGCAAGCAGCACCACGTGAGCAGCACTCACGCAGCAATGATGCACAGCAGACTCCGGCGCCCACCACCAGGGCGGCGCGGGCGGCGGAGAAGGCGGCATCCCCGCCGCGAACCAGGGGCACGTTTGTTGTTGCTGCTGCTGCTGTTGCTGGAGCAAGTTCCACCAGGGATTACGAAATGCGTCCGTCAGCATCAGCGCATCCCGATGGGTCCAACCCCTTCGACATCGCCGTCCCGTACTGCACTCGCTGCCGCCGCTACTCTCCTCGTCCTCTGTTATGGTCGACGAAGTCATCGTCGACGCCGACACTGTTGGAATCGCCTTCCTGCGACGGCTGGATACGACGCGACGAGGCTGGGCCGACGAGTCGACTCGACCGAGCCGCGGAGATGGACTCCGTGGGGGTCGGTGAGCCACGAACGTTGGATACGGGTTGGGAAGCGTCATTGTCTTTCCAGTCCACAGCCCGTAGGCCACCACACACTCTTGTCCGCAAGGTCGGAACGTACAGGTCGTCTTAGAGACAGGGTAACGGCGCGGTTTCAAAAGGACATTCAGCAGACGACGACGTCCTCTTTCCGTGGCTTGGAATCAGCTTGGAATCCTCGTTGCCCTTTCCCGTTTCCATTAGCGCTCTTTCCGGTGCCTTCTTGTCAGTCTCTTTTTTAATGAGGAAGTTGATAGGCGGAGAGGAGGACAAGAGGACCAAGGGTGCATAAAAGGGCGAGCGGATTCAAACGAACGAGAGCAGAAAAAATTAGGTCGGATGACTTCCAGACGCGTACGACATTCGGCCTTCGAGAGATCGCCGCCAGACGACGATTAGCGCCACGCCGCGTCGTTCCAGTGAGGCTCGCTGTAAGGAAAGACAGACCACCCACCCACGCTCCGGACGCAAACCGATATTCATTTACAGGACTGGGATTCCAGACGCGAAATAAGAGAACGCGAAAAAAAACTTTGCTGGGAACGCCACATCCGGCTGTCGCGTTGAAAACTCAAGCAAATTCTTTGTTTCCAGACTTTCATGGGTCACTAACCATCGTTCAGATAAACCCGGATAACGCGATATTTTCAATTTTTTAACCGCAATCCACGCGTTTGTGAGATCGGCTACAGTTGCACATGTGCAATTAATTGTTGTGCAACTAGCACATCGAGCGCGGCTTCCCCGCATTGCGACCGACCGCACGGCAGAGCCAACTTTACGACAACCAATGTTTTCTATGAGGAAAAAAAAAAAAAAAATTATACGTGAAAGACAAAAATTAGTCCAATATCAGATTTAAAAAAAAGGACAAAAATAAAATCATACATGAAGAACAAAAATCAATCTAATATCAAATTAAAAAAAAAAAGAAGAAGAAGAAAAAGCTTTTACGCCACCGTCGCTAATAGATGGCGGTAGCTGTCCAGAGGGTTGTGTCGAGATTCATTTGTCCACGGACACGAAACTGGAGAAACTAGCCCTTGACAGCTCCGCTGTAAAAGACCCCCCCCCCCCCCCCTTGCCCACCCCCAAATGGAGGATTTCCCTCCATTTGGGGGGGGAGGGGGGGGGGGTCTTCTAAAACCCGCCCCCTCTGTCAAAATGAGTTGCGAGGCGGCTATGACTATACTCTGTTCACCCAGTAGCTGAGACTGTGGTGGGAGGAGCTACGCTGTCGCCAGACCAATCAGCCGCCTCCCCTTCTTCACTTGGCCCAGCCCTCCACGCGATGACGTGGACGAGAGCGTGATCACGTGGCGAAGGATCGACGTACGACTGATCCAACGCGCTCGTAGCTTCCACTGCAGTCTCAGCTTAGGGCTGAACGGAGTATGGAAGGGCATACCAGTACAAGTGGCACAAATAGGATGGTTAAGGCTAGACTACCGTAATATCATGCGAGATAGCCCACCCAAAATCGATAGCAAATAAGATGAAAATAAGGGCAAGCTAACTTTCGCTGTTATATATATAAAAAAAAAAGTTAAAAAAATGCTTAACGAGAAAAGAGTCAAAGTACAGGCTAGCTGGTGGAAGTCAACCATTTCGTCGTTTACCCTGAGACTGGGGTTTTTTTTAGAAGAGCAGAAGTAACAGAAAAAACAGACAGGTCTGTCTGTTTTTTCTGTTACTTCTGCTCTTCAAAAAAAACACCAGTCTCAGGGTAAACGACGAAATGGTTAAAAAATGCTAGTTTTAGGTTTTGTGACCCTCGAAACTTGTTCTCCCAGGGAGGGGCGATGAACCAAAGACGAATGTCCTTTCCAGCCAGCAATGTTTACTTATCTCCCGCCGTGGCTAAGTAACACCATTTTTGCCAAGGACACCGTTGGCCAGGACCCTGCAATTACTGGAAGTAAGCTATCTTTCCGTGTTTTTGAAGAAATAGCAAATCATGCCCAAAATAGGGGGCGGGCCATCTTCCGGGGATGGGGCACCTCTCGGGATATTACAGTAATATTAAATTATCCTTGAGTGAGAATTTAAGACATTGGGATAGTTGAAACATCACAAAAACAAAAAGACAACCAAATCTTTCTGTTGTCTTTATTTCATCTACACATGTACCTACAATTCCCTAAATACGTGATTGTCAAGATTGCAAACAAAAACTATAAAAAATTTATTATTCAAAATACTTTTATGTCATAAGTATGCCCACAAATGTGCCTTAGTCGCTTTATGGTAAAAGATTTAGAATATAGAAGTTTTCAAGAAGTATCTGGGATGGCTGAAGGGGGCTTGACCATGCCTCATGACAGTGCAGGAGTGCAGAGGCACTTCCTTAGGGTAAAACCATGGGGAAGCCCTGGGGCTGCTAGTTACTCAAATGTTATGTTCACTTGTCGCTTGTCATTGGCTGGGCGGTCACTGTCTTCGGATTATGGCTGAGGCCGCCACAGATGCCCCCCCCCCCAGTTTCCTGGCTTGAGCGTTGAGAAGTCAGAAGACGATAAACATATTCAAAACAAAATAGGGGCCCACGTCACAGTCCGGCCTTTAAGTTTAAAATCTGGGCCGGCTCCGGCACGCGACGGAGGTGAAGTGAAGGCCTTTCATCGACTCCCCGCTGTACGCGGGGAGTCGATGAAAGCGGGTTTGATGCGATCGACGGTGATAACTTGCTGCATGCCGTTGACATCTAAGGTCATTGTCTTTAGCATGTGTTCCAATACTTTAAACGAGCCATCGTGCGCCGGTGGCAAAGTCTTCTTGACCAAATCACAACAGACGAAGGCATGGGTACACTTTGTCAGGTCATGGGACATGAAAACCTTGCGGGGGGATGGCATTGTGGGAGCAGATATGCTCCCACAATGCCATCAACAGACAAAGGCATGGGTACACTTTGTCAGGTCCTGGGACATGAAAACCTTGGCGGGGGGATGGCATTGTGGGAGCAGATATGCTGGGGCCACCCAGCATATCTGAATGTGTGAGCTTGCAGGGAAACTCCATAAAAGCCATATGCTAGCAGTCGACAAACACACTTGCCTCGCTTAATATGCACAAGACAATCGAAAGGCATATCCAGCTATTTTCTCACCAAAGATTTATTTAGATTTTTGTTACTTCACTTTATGCCAGTTACTTAAAATAAAGAAATCAATGCATCGCTCGCCACTACAACAATGTGTCAGCTTCAGACTGACTTTCGGAAAAAAGTGTTACTCCAACCGTTAACTTCAGGAAACGTCACCTGGCTCAGACATACTGCCCAATGCAATGGAGATGCGATAGTATAGCACCAATACGCAGACCCTTCTATTCAGCCCGCGTTCCTACGCAGCGGATGGAAGAGGGAGACCGGAAAGTGCTACAGCACCAACCTACCCCCCCCCCCCCCACTCCACGCAACGCAATGCCGTTGGTCCCACACGCTATGACGTCAAACCAACAACTGTGCTCCTTTGCTGACACTACTTGCCACGGCCTTGCTATGGTGCGACCGACACCAATACGAGCAAGCCAGGTCCGTCCAGGGTTCCCACATACATATAAACATTCAAAAGTTCATTAACAAACTTTAGTTAATTAACCAACTTATCTCGACGATCATACCTCTATATAATACCCCTCTGACTGTATAACTCACCTGCACAGAATTTGTTAGTGTAGCTTTCACATTTTATTTTTTAGAGTGCAGCTGTTAGGTACCCGTTTCCACGTTTCGCAACGTCGGCGTTGGCGTAACCGCCCCGCTAAGTTTAGCAGAAAATTAAACTGGTGTTGAGGTCAAAGAACATCAATTTTCCCGCTAAATCTAGTGGAAAAAATGAATTTGTTCATGGGTGACGTGACATCAAGTCATGTGCTATCATTTTCTTCGCTAAATTTAGCGGGGAAACTGGATTGGTGTTGAGGTCGTGTGACATCAATTTCCCCGCTAAATTAGAAAAAAATTCAGTGGGCAAATTTAATGGGAGGAGGAGGGGCCGTACCCTCCCCTGTTTAAAAGCTGAGCTCTAATTTCTCATTACACAGATTTATAAATGTCTCATTTTTTTAAAATAAACCTTTAAAGCCTTAAATAAAACACCCTGTAAAGCCATCGCTTTAAAAGTTTTTCAGCGACTCACCGAGGTCTTAGCAGGCTGGACGATACGATCGAGCCAGGCGTGTACGAATTTGGCTGCCGCAGGGTCCAGTGCAAAGGACGCATTGTCATCCGCAGACACGTTCCACTCGAGAGCGTGCTTGAGGTCCGCAAGGAGCCTGCCTATGCCGTTCTGCCGTTCCCCGTTGCGATTGGCTTCGTCGGCGGAGCCGCCCAAGCTCGCACCTAGGAAGGATCGGATTCCGTCACGCGTGCCGTCTGCGGAGCTCCCAGCACCAACGGTCAACGACATACTAAAGCACACTTTTCTAAATCATAAAGGCCCGTTCACACACTCGCGTCTGCTTAGGACCGAGTTCTAGTGACCTCTTGGATGAGAAAGAACATGTTCACATGCTGCCATCATCTATGACGGGACCCTGAAAGTGCATTTCACTAGGGTCAGTGTTGGTCGAAGTACATTCAAAAAGTACTTAAAGCACAAAGTAAATGAGAGGTTATGTACTTCAAGTAATGTAGTAAGTACACCAGGTGCAATGTATTTGAAGTAAAGTACTATATATAGAATGTACTTTCAAAGTAAAGTACAACTAGTTTTTAACACAATCTTTTATGATGCCCTGGTATGCATTGCCCCAGGTGTAATTGGGGGTGCATCAGTTATTGTCAGAAATGGCGGCAAATATTAGATAAAGTCAAGTGGCCAAAGGGTAGTTGTTTTACTTTCACTGGAAAACTATTCAATCAACACAATCAACTTATAAGGCACTTATTTGTATTGGTCTTACAGACAACATTACTTCATGCAAAGAAATGACCGCATAACGTCTCGAAAGATGATATCGCATTTTCAAATGATGATACTCCATTTCTTTTTTGATAGGAGTTGGACTTGACCTTACTGGGAAAGCCAAGGACACCAGCACATTGTACTTGGAAGAGGTGAATTTCACCGAGACCAAATTTGGGGAGTGTACTTTGAAGTTGGCAGTTGAACTTTCCTTGAAAGTCCAGAAAAAAATACTTTTAAGTAAAGTACAAGAAATCCTACCTGAAGTAGTACTTTAAGTACTTCCAAACAGTGACTAGAGCAATGGTTGTGCGGTATTTTCAAAATCAAATGTATGTATCATCAATGAGAAATGATTGTTTAAAACATGGCCAAAAGTTTTTTCGAACCAAGAAAGAAAGAATGATATGGCAAAAGTATGAAACATACAAAAACTGCAAGTGTTCCATGGCTACTCAACAGGAGAGACATATATTGGGAGAGTTTGGCAATTCATTGGTCTGAATAGGCGAGCATCTCGTGACTAAGCACAGGCCGCAAAACAGCCCCTAGCAGTGGTCGCGAGTTCTAAAAATGTGACTCGACTAACTTAAGCCGTTTTAGTGTCGCTAGAGTAAAAAGGTGTAACTCATGGTGACTGAAAACTTGGTGCATGTGATGTTTTCGTCACGTCCATATTCAACAGTGGAATAAACGAATGCGCATTCCAAACCAGAGCAAACTGCATAGTTGTGATCATTGCTGCGGCGAAATTGAATGCTTCTATTTCACGCTTTAAATATCATTTCCAATATTGTGATGTCGAGGTTCGCTGATTGGTCGACGCTGTGTTGCACTTTTAGTTTACGCCCTAACTGCGGGGAGAATATTCGGCGCTGGCAGCGCGGCCTTTGCTCCGCCCATTGGCCATACCCTCCCAATGTACGGCTCTGCTCAATAGATGGTGCCATTGTGTTCTCTCACTGTAAGAGGTTTTAAGATACATGGTCGTAAGCAGTCGCAAGGGTGTGAACTTAAGAAGGAAGTCTTAGAAAGCAAGCGGCATAAAAGAAAAGGGCAATAAACTATGCCAACAAACATAAATATGCAAATGTTTAGTAGTAGTTCAAAACTCGAGATTTGCGGGATGCAGGTTCATTTGGCAGGTAAACAAGGCTGCTCAAAATCTGCAAACACATAATGAAGTAAGACCGCCCATGTCGCATGGCTCCATAATATAAGCGGCTAGACCCTGAAAGCTTGACACTGCAAAAGTGGAAGATTGGTTAAGCTAACCTTAGCACACACACACACACACAAAGAAAAACATAAAAGGGAATGGTAGAAACAAATAAATAACATAAAAGGAAAGAGGGACACACACTGACACAGTATTACACACAGATGCACATTAGCTCGGCTGTACTTTGACCATTTTTACGGGTTTTTTTCTTTTTTTCTAATGTTACACTAAATAGTTTCCAGCAGAAATAATACAAAACTTCATAAACACCAACTCCCAAGAGTCTCTGACGTGAGAGGTCATCCGCGACCGGAATAAAAGTGGCAACTCACTAGAGATAATCCCGTCCATCTGTTCCAAGGCGGCGGCTAGCACCCGGCTAGCGTCACAATCCCTGTCCATTCCTACGAGGCCACATGAAAGACGGAAGATATGGAACGTGATCAGATCAAAGGCAACGTCCCATCAAAAAGGCGTCACCGCACAACGAACGCGGTACCACACAGGAAACGGCAGAGTTCGCCGAGGTCACACCTCAGTCTCACGTCACAGCGACAACTGTCACAAACACTGTCGGGCCGATCACACGTAACAATGGGTAACTTAGGATCGAACTTACGAACAAAACAAAAATCGGCTATCTATTGTTCTACTGGATGTGCCCATTTCAATCACATCCGGATAGCAAAACAAACTAGCAAACAGCCTATCCGCCTTAGCAGCCACCCATCTTAAATCGCTAGAGTATGAGCTACGTGTAAAATGTATAGGTGACGCCTTCCTAGGCTCAAGGACGTATGTGATACAGTATACAGTAATGCATTTAAGCGATGTATGACGCGTTAATAAAGCGTTTAAAGACACGGATTTTGTGACCGATAGCGATATTGACAAGGTAACGGGTGTCTTTGTTGAGGAACTTTGCTGAACGTTTCGGGTTTATGACGAAGCAGTTTATTTACCGTTGCGTCCTCCACGGCTTACGTGAATCGCAGAGTGTCATTAAGGATTAAAACGCGAAACAAGTACCACGAACTTTCCAAATCGTCTGCCACTTAAGACGCCATTTGTAAAGCTTCACGAGTGGTTGCGACACAAGCGTTTCGGGGCAGTAAAACTGGAAACGCCGATTGGCTGAAAAAAAAATGACGTCACTTCCGGTTTTGTTATTTTGTTTAATTTTAGATAACGTTTTAAAGTAAAAATATATAAAAAGGTACTTTTCTTGTTTTTGTTTGTTTTTACTTTTTTTTTGTTATTTTCCTTGCTTGATTTTTTAATTTTGGCTGGTACGGTTCCGTTCTGTTCCGCCTTGGCGCCCTTGGCCGCGGGGGCAATGTTTTTGTTTTCGTTCTACGTTCAGGTGTTGGGTGGCGACGTATTAACCGTCGATAACCAGCTGAAGCAGCTCAAGTTCTCGAGTGGAACGAGGTTGACCGTGCGCAGTGGCAGCCGTTGACAACAAAAACAATGTATGCACTAAGCTTCGCCGGATGAGTGCCGGCGTCGATCGCGAACCGCCAGAGCCGCCAAATACCTCTCGTACATCTCCAAGAACACCAAGAACAGGAGGTATTCATAAAGGTGAGTGTTCACCGCACTTTAGTGCTTCAGTTCCGTTTGGAGTCGTTTGACATAATTTAGTCCGGTGCGTCCGGGAACAAAAGCGCTACCAGAAATGGCGGGAATGGTCGGTCGGTGCTGAATGCTGATGCCATCCAAGCGGATTTGAATTGGGTTTCGTGCGCTCAACGTGTCGATTTGTTTCTTGAGCTGCCTTTACCAACCGCTCGCCCGAAATCGTTCGGTAGAACATGCGGACGTGACGGCTAGCAGAGCCCTCCGCAAAGGCTTAGGAGCGCGCTCACAATTTTGGAAGCTTCCGTATGACCGCAAGTGCTCAATAAGTCGCTATAGCAATGATTGCATGCCATCGACACAGACTTCGATCCAGTTTTTCAACGAGACAGGAAGGCCCAACGAAGCAAGCGTAGAATCTGATGCTTCGCCTGTCACTGTCTGCGCGGGAACACGCCGAGAGGCGCTTAAACGAGCTGCCAGGGCGTAATTAAAAAAAAAAAAAAAAAAATCTAACGCAGGTCTGAATTACGCGAGGATCGTCTCGAAGCATGGTAGCCTCAACAGACGCTTGCCGCCACACGCGAGGAGAAAGCAGGAGGCCCGAAGTTTGAATGTGAAGGTAAAACGTGCTTTAATAATAATGATCTTTATCTGCACGTTCCTTTGTATGACTAAGGTGATCGTGCTGAGACACAATATAGCAGCGATTGCTCTCGAACAAAGGACAGGACAGCAGAAAGGCAATGAGAGGCAGGGAGATAACTGACCTCTCTGTTGTAAAACATTTTTCAGAGGAGGTGCGAAGAGCTGGCCCTCACTTTTTCAAGGCAGCCGCAGAACACTACGAGCCCCGAATCACTGCCGCGGCTGACTCACGCGGATGCTGTGCTGCACCCTGCACTGCACATGGTTCGAAGCACACTTCAGGGGACCAGTGCATGCCCCTGCTGCATCGTCACGGTATGTTTTGTACTGCTTTTCCTAGCGGTGCACTGAGCAGTCCAATCTTGAAGGGAGCACGCGAGTGCGTAGCCAGTGCTCCATGCAGCGAGGACCGCAAGCACCCGCGGAAGCTTGGAGCACACGCAGTGACGCCAGCAGCCGTGCACGCTGGCGTCGTCTGCTACTGTACCGTCCTTTCGTTCGGTGCGCAGAAAAAAAAAGGAGTGACCGCTCTGTTAAAAGTCTGATGGTGAAGGCATCCTTTACAGAAGCACTGTATGGCTCTCTGCACGCTAGAATGGGGGCTGTCATTGATGCTCGCAGAGGCGTCGCCCACAACTAAGCAGACGACCAAAGTCCTGAGCAGGTGACTAATCGTTTCATTGTTCTTTGGTAGGGAAAGGTAGATAATGTGCTTCTACTCCCAGCTTTTTTTTTTTTTTTTTTTATCACCATTTAGTATGTTACCATCAAAACAGCATCCTGGTGTTCACATAAATATGTGTTAACAATACCTATCGTCAAATATGTGACCTAAAGAGCCAACTGCGGCCGATGATATCTTTTAAGTAGAAAAGAGTCAAAGTACAGGCTAGCTGGTGGAAGTCAACCATTTCGTCGTTTACCCTGAGACTGGGGGGTTTTTCGAAGAGCAGAAGTAGCAGAAAAAACAGACAGGTCTCAAACTCAGCTATACGTTTATTTCAACAACTTCCTCTTATATAGTTCGTTTTCGTCGTCAACAACCAATCACATACGACTTCTCCTTTGCACCGTGACTTTTCAGGTTCCACTCTATCACAAAAGAAGCGGACACTCCCAACGTTTCCAAGTGAAAAGGTTCTAGCAGAAGATATGCCTCACAAAGCCCCAAGCACTCTTTTGTGTCCTCACAATAAACAGGACAACAGCCCACAACAACATCCCACTCAAAACTGGTCACCTCCAAAATTGTAGAAAACAGACAATACACACCAAAGAAGCCTTTCAAGATGATAAAAAAAAAAAAAACACACTTAAAATTGTAAAAATTGCTTGCAGCGGTTCCCTATTTGCATGGAAGGTTGACTAATACAATGGAAGGTGCAACTAATGCAATAAAAAAAAAAAAAAAAAAAAAAAAATCTAAAATTGTAAAAATTGTTTGCAGCGGTTCCCTATTTGCATGGAAGGTTGACTAATGCAATTTCCTAACGATCTAATCCTAATTGTTTCTCTTACCACCCTTTTAACATCGTTCCTTTCCTTAACAACTACATCCGTTCCAGACCAATCCGTTGTGCAGTTTCTACACTCCTCCAGATGCTTAGCCAACTCCGAATTTGCTGCATTATTTTTAACATTCCTTTTGTGTTCTGTTAAACGATCGTTTAAACACCGAGAGGTTTGGCCTACATACTTAAAACCACACGCCAAAGGAACCTCATATACCACGCCTACGCTACACGGCACCGACTTTTCCCTATGCGCCTTCTGACATCCCCTCTGAGCCGTTTCAAAAGGTGTCAATCTATCTAACCTAAAATCCGTGCTGAATACGACATCCACGCCATATTTTTTTGCACATGCTCTAAGATTGTGGGACACCTCGTGAAAATACGGAACCACAGCGTACCTATTCCTGATTTCTTGCGTTTTCCCCCTTTTTCTCCCTGCACTGTAGGGCAATCTGTCTTTTGATGTACTCTTCCCCATATCCACTAAAAAACCAGTGGGAAAGACTGGTAATGGCAGGATATGGGGAAGAGTACATCAAAAGACAGATTGCCCTACAGTGCAGGGAGAAAAAGGGGAAAACGCAAGAAATCAGGAATAGGTACGCTGTGGTTCCGTATTTTCACGAGGTGTCCCACAATCTTAGAGCATGTGCAAAAAAATATGGCGTGGATGTCGTATTCAGCACGGATTTTAGGTTAGATAGATTGACACCTTTTGAAACGGCTCAGAGGGGATGTCAGAAGGCGCATAGGGAAAAGTCGGTGCCGTGTAGCGTAGGCGTGGTATATGAGGTTCCTTTGGCGTGTGGTTTTAAGTATGTAGGCCAAACCTCTCGGTGTTTAAACGATCGTTTAACAGAACACAAAAGGAATGTTAAAAATAATGCAGCAAATTCGGAGTTGGCTAAGCATCTGGAGGAGTGTAGAAACTGCACAACGGATTGGTCTGGAACGGATGTAGTTGTTAAGGAAAGGAACGATGTTAAAAGGGTGGTAAGAGAAACAATTAGGATTAGATCGTTAGGAAATTGCATTAGTCAACCTTCCATGCAAATAGGGAACCGCTGCAAACAATTTTTACAATTTTAGATTTTTTTTTTTTTTTTTTTTTTTTTTTTTTTTTATTGCATTAGTTGCACCTTCCATTGTATTAGTCAACCTTCCATGCAAATAGGGAACCGCTGCAAGCAATTTTTACAATTTTAAGTGTGTTTTTTTTTTTTTATCATCTTGAAAGGCTTCTTTGGTGTGTATTGTCTGTTTTCTACAATTTTGGAGGTGACCAGTTTTGAGTGGGATGTTGTTGTGGGCTGTTGTCCTGTTTATTGTGAGGACACAAAAGAGTGCTTGGGGCTTTGTGAGGCATATCTTCTGCTAGAACCTTTTCACTTGGAAACGTTGGGAGTGTCCGCTTCTTTTGTGATAGAGTGGAACCTGAAAAGTCACGGTGCAAAGGAGAAGTCGTATGTGATTGGTTGTTGACGACGAAAACGAACTATATAAGAGGAAGTTGTTGAAATAAACGTATAGCTGAGTTTGAGACCTGTCTGTTTTTTCTGCTACTTCTGCTCTTCGAAAAACCCCCCAGTCTCAGGGTAAACGACGAAATCTTTTAAGTGTTCTTTTTCTCACAAAGATCCCTGGCATTGACTTTTTAGCCACGTACCTTGAGTCCACAAAAACAATGTGCTTCAGCTAAATGTTATTCACACAAAATACATCCTGACAAGCTGCTTTCACTCTCGAGCCTCGAAGAAATTTTGCAGTTTGATTTGAACTATGTTGCAGGTTAAGGAGGTAGGGTCAGGGAAAAGAAGGTGGGAGAGGAGGAAGCGGGCACAATGCTGGTCAAACCCTCTCCCTTCGCCGGCGTTGCATCCATCTCCTCCTCTCCCACCTTCCTTTTTCTTCCCCTACCTTCTTGAGTTGTCACCGACCATATAAAAGGCATGCATTGATATCACTTGTTCGTTTTGTGGCCATGGCGCCAGCAAGGTTTGAGAAACGTATCCTGCTTCACAGGAATTCAGCACTCAACATGGAGAAACTATTGGCAGTGCTGCTGTAATGTCTTTGTCCTCGTCTTTTGCAGCCATCTAAAAAAGAGAAATATAATACTAGGAACACAGAGCAACGTCACGCGCCAGTACATAGTGTACTACGAAGGGCAGGTAAATTGACTGCGGAACACGATTTTCTCAATGTCCTCACGGTTCTTTCGGCCAAGTACATACAGATAAGACGATTACCATTAGAAATGTTGAACGCCAATCCGAAATGTTTTTTGGCGGTGTGCCGAGCAAAAGGACATTGCTGCAACAGAAAACATGTGCCATCCTCTGCCTTTGGTGCTTCTGTGTCTGCGCCGAGCTTCCGCAGCCACCAACAGTCAACGCTGCATGGACTGCCCGCCATGCTTTCATGCGTTCCATGTATGATTGGCACGGCATGTGGATGTGTCATGCAAGTGACATCAGCGCTGTTGGCAGTGCCATGCTGGTTGAGCTTTGCTAGGCTCTGACCATTGACAAGCTGTTTTATGCAATAATCGCTCTTGGAAGTCCCCAAACTGTTTTTAGCAATTCAAGTGTCAGATTTTTTTTAGCTATGGTTATACAGGTTTTCTTTTTTAACATTTACAGATTTCAAAGAAAAAGTGAAAGTTATGACAGTTATAAGTTATACGGCCAGGCGGACATTAGATTCATGGAAGAATGCAGCTAAAAGTCCGTGTAGATCATGTGTATCATGCTTCTCTGCAGCGCAGCTACATACTTGCGTAGGACCACCCCCATGAAGTGGGGTGGGGGGGCTGCATGCGTGTGTTGGGTAGCCCCTCTTGGTTTTACAACTCTACCCTGATGTAAAATTTTAGATTTTAATGCGAACAAGTTGATAACAAAAAAGAACTTGGTCAACATTGATCTTACAACTCGAGATGTAAAAGGAACAAAAATAGAGAACAGCAAAATGTGGAAGAAGACATCTCGCTTCTTTCATTTTCATTTCACTAAGTGACATTGGTCGGCGACTGTAAGACTTTTAATCACAATAGTTATACACCACAGGTCCCGGGGATCATGGCATCGATGAGCTCGCTTTCGCCTTGTCCAAGGTAGCAGCGGAACACTACGGGCAGGCCCGGAGTCACCGCACCGGCTGGCTCACGGGCGTCGTCCTGTACTCTGCACGGCACTGCGTGTGGCTTAACCGGCCAAGCAGAGGGTCACTGCATGACCTTTATGAGGCGTCGCTAGCCATTGTAAGTATATTTTGGACGCTCGTGTCAGGGGATGTACTTTTGTGTTCTACAACAGAACATGTTTGGTGGCGGTTCAGTCTTGCCAATTCAGCCATTTTGAAACATAATTTTGTGGCGACTTGGCTTAGGTTTTCTGGCTCGGCCGTCTTTTGCACCAGTGTCTAGGCTCGGCGTAAGCCTCTTTGTTCTTTATTGTCAAGGCTAGTGTAATTTCTGCTACGCTGTCGAAGCAACTTCTTCATGCGAACAAGATGCAAGACGAAGCTACATGCTCGTGCACAGTGCATGACCACATGTGAAAACTAATAGAGAGTTTGTTTCGCTGCAATCGTGCCCATGCGCACCCACTTGCAACATGAAGTGAGTTTGTTTCGCCGCCGGCACTCCACACGTGCATGCGCTCGCTGCGCCCTGAGAATTAAGTGTGTACCTGAATGCACTCCCGTCATGCATCACTTAGGCAGGGAACAAGAGCAGATGACTGGTTTGTCCACCATGCGGGACAGTAGAACTCCAGAAAAAGTGAACTTTCTGCTAAAAAAATGACGTCCCACGAGCAACAAAATCGGACACGAGCTTGAATTGTGTGTCTGCTATTCTATAAAGCAAGCAATCCACAACCTGTGCTTAACTTGCAAGTTTTCAGTCATTTTGTTGCTGTACAGACGTCCATATACACCGGTGGATAAAGAAAGGTTCAGAACGAACATCAGCCACCGCGAGATATCTCTCACCATCCGTGCGGGGCTAAAGAGTTGGGACGTTAGTTGACAAAGCTTGCCCGGCAGAAACCTGCGACGCGTCCAGTCGGGAGCCGAGAAAGCTAAACTGTTTTTACCCGAGGCTTGGATAAAATCACAGTGTTTAAAAAGGAGCCATGGAATTTATTTTGGGTGGGATAAATTAATTTAGATTCGTATTTTGCTAATACAGTTGAACCTTTCAAGAACGAAATTCTCGCGGCAACGAAGAAATCTGGCGGCCCCAGCGAACGTCCATAGGGTTCAATGCATTTGCACCCTCTCAACAGCAAAGAGTTTTAAAAAGCAGTCCCGCATTAACGAAAGTTTGAGGTAGTGATCTGCCATAGAGTTATTCAATGTGTCTACCAAGTTGGCATTTTCAAATTCCCTGAGTTTTTCAGGTTTCCTCTGAGTACTTTTGTGAAATTCCCTGAGTGACACAGAACTTTGTTTTAGGTCAAGATGGGCGGACACCATGTCGCAACATGCTGTCACTCTCTAAAAAGCATGTCATAAAATAAAATAACAACACAATACAGTTTTGATGATAGCGAGTAACTTTTATTAGATTTAAAAAGAAAACAGAACGAAGTGGTTAGTAAAATTGATAGCGAATAAAGTATAAAAAAAGGTAAACTGAGGTTTACGTGACCCCCCCCAGGTCTGGTCATGTGACCTCGGGGGGGGGGGGGGGGGGGGGGGGGGGGGGGTGGGGGTGTCGAGACCTGACGGCGACGCCGCTCAAGCCGGAAACGGGAGCAATAACAGGGAAAGGAAAGGGTAAACAAACATAAGGCGTTCAAAGTGCGATTGCTCAACCCTTGTTGTCAAAACACTCCACCTAACAAAATCTTTTTTTTTTTCTTTTTTTTATTTTGGGGCTAAGGAGTCGCACAGTGACAGCGGTGTTTGCACGCGACCGTTCCAACAGCGGGCACTCCCTGCCCTCCCCACGCGCGCAGGTGCCCTTCCCCTTGCTTTTGCCATCCTCCACTTCTTTTGTTTTTATTGGTTGCTTTTTTTATTTTTTATACAATTGCTTTTTCGCTGCGCATCCCCGCGTGCGCGTATGCTGGGTTGGCGGTCTGCCAGCCTTGCAACCCGAGCTGTGTGCTCCCTGCCGGCGCAATCCAACCTATAGGGAGAAGCAAAGAACGGCCTTCGTTCGCTACATCGAGTGTCCCCTCCATGGGAGTTATGGACATTCGATACAGAAAAACAATGCAATTTTCTAGGGGATGTTTGGACTGTTTCATATAAACAATAATTCGAAATACGGGTGTGATATAACCGGGTTCGACAGTATGTTTGGCCGTCTCCCTTAATTTCCAGATACCTTCGTTCGTTTGGCACGTATATCCCCGATGCTAGAAAGCGCCGACGTTGTGTTCGCGCTGAGAGTGTCCGACAGTGCACATAAATACACGTGCGAAGCCGTTTTTGCACCGTTTTTTTTTTTCCCCATAGAAATGCATTACCGGAAGTCAATTTTCGACTGGTTGCTGTCTGCTTCAACTTGCGTCGGCACACTAGCACCACTTGAACCTCTAGCGTACATTACAATAACCCTACGCGATCTGCAACATTTTTTCGTCAAATGAGCCAGTTTGGAACCGAGAATTGTGAAAAATGGAGCAGTACACTCGTCCGACAAGTTGGGCACATACGTTTCCGACAAGCATCGGCGCGGCCATTGCTGTTTACATTCGGTCAAATAATGATGACAATGGCAACTAGATGCTTTTTTTGGGGGGTTGGTGAAAACAGCGTTTTGCTAGCCCATCTGTTGGCAACTACCTAGGTACGTGACGACACCGCCTGCTGCTATTTCGCCGTCCGCCGCGTGCACGCCGAGATCGCTCGCGCCTTGTTTACTACCTTTCGTTTGGCCTGTCGGAAAGATGCCGCCTCCCATTAAAAAGTTTTTTTGCACTTCAGGAGAACTCTGCGATCACTGCCAAAGCCAGAAAGAAGTCCGATATTACAGAGGAGTTCAGTATCCTTTGCTTCTCGCTTTCTACGATTCTGAATTCCAAGGACAGCATCATGAAAAGTAATAGGTGTGCTTAGTTGTCCATTTCTGCAGCAGCGAAATTCTTGCGAGAACGAAAAACGTTACCTTCCCCCGCGGTTTGGTTATTACGGGTGTGATGATGTGACTTAATGTGGAAAAGAAGTGCAAGTCAACCCATGGATCGGCCTGGAGGGAGATACGAAGAAGAGAGATTTTGGAGTGCGTGCTCAGAGGGCGTGAAAAGGACTGGCCGGGAGATTGTGCAGAGAGCGGAACGACACGATCGGCCAGGGCAATCGGCGGCCTCCTACTGTCTGACCAGCAGCCTGTTCCAGCGAGGGCAGCGAATAGAAACCTACGCTGCCCCCGGCTTCCTACAGCGGGAGCGCTTGGTGCGGTAACTCTGGGGCCGCCGACGGAAGCCAACCGCTCCCGCTCCTGACTTCCAGCCACAACCGTGGGCCGACAACGACAGCACAAGACACACTGCTGCACAGGGACTCAAAGACATGGTGACTGATGCGTTTTCCTTTCTTTAACTAAGTTTTCTTTTTTTTGTATAAGCATATGAACCCTTTGATTTTTTTTTGTAAATACAAGTTTTCATGAAAAACGAAGGACATTGTATTTTGTCAATTATTAACCACAAAGAACCCTGTGACAACGGGGTTCAACTGTAACATATTGTTCAGTGGGCCGAGAGTCAAAAGGCTGCTTTTCGGTACGAAAATTCGAAAACATGACGGACTATTTTGTACTTCCTTTCCCTCAAAAGCTTTCCGCATTTTCAGTGCGACACATCCGTGGTACCCAAAGCACGTGAGCTGGCCCTAGCTCACATGTTAGACTCGACCACTGTGTCACCATTGGCGACGAGATGTTTTGGTGGTTTCATCTCGCGGACGCCTTCCTGTAGCGGTGCTGGTAGGATCGAGCAGACGACGCGCTACGTCAAAGCGCCGAGTGGCTAGTTAGTTCGCCTCTATGTCGATTAAAAATGGATTATTAACCCTTTGCAGTCAGATACTCTGACCAACTTAAAGGGCAACTCCGGTCAAAACTCAAAATGAAATAAATTACTGGTATCGTTGTAGACACAAAATACGACCTCAGCCAAAATATTACGTCCGTGGGACGCCGCATTCTCAACTAATGCCGATAATAAAAATGTGACCTGCCGCAAGCCGCTGCTTCTTAGCGGGCGGCCAGCGGGTTGGCGATCGCTAAAGCAACATTGCGCCGTGACGTCAGTATCGTTCTCTTTTCCTCCGGCCCGGGCGTTGCGCGGAGTGCGTTTCTTCGAGCCGCTACCACCGGTACTTCGGCTTGTGATTGGCGTGTTTAGCCGTTGATTTTATCTGTAGCCCATGTAGCTTCGCTATAGCCTTTTGTTTATCTGCTTGTGAGGACTCCAAGACTCGTTTTAGCGAGCAACTTGGTGCGCCCAAGACTGCCCAGCTGTTCCTCAAAAGATGCCGAGTACAACTTGTAGCGCTGTGGGCTGCTCAAACAACCCGCTGTGCAACACGGAGGTGCTTTTTCACTAGTTTCTAACGGACCAAAAACTGGAGAAGGTGTGGGTGAACGCTGTTCGACGAGTAGACTTTGGACTTCAGCTTTTAAGCGCCCGAGGAAAAAAAAAACAAACAAAAAAACAGACATGTACAGCCCAGCACACATGTGTTGGGGTGCCGCAGCCCGCGCCGGAGAACCTCAAAGCTTCGTGTCTGGGACTGTCCCGCAGCGCGAAAGCGAGGGGGCCCTCAGGGCGTCACCCATCCCTCCGTATCCTTTCATCCTCCTCCTCAAGAGCTGCGCTCTAATCCGGCGTTACAGGGAGTCGTAAACGGCTTTTTTTTTTTTTTTTTTTTTAAGTTTTGAATATTGCTTATTTTACTGTAGGTAGATGTGGGAGTTGTTTACGAAAATATTTTTGGAGACCGCAGAAGCAGACCACACGAGTCACCCCCCTCGCCCAAGTGAGGGGTGACCTGCAGTCTGTTTGGAAAGATACTGTGTCTGTAGCTTTGATACAAAGATATCTTTCAAAGATACTTTGAAAGATACTGTGTTTGTAGCTGGCTTCAGTTGCTGCGTTCGAATGTGCATCTATTGACATTTGGTGACCGTAGCAGTCAATTTATTGTGCAGGAGGAGACTGGTGGGGCGAGATCAGGAGCACACTTGGGCTCTCTTGCAGTACTTTTCAATGCGGCCACAGAACAAGAACATAGGGTTCTAAATAAGGACTGAACGCAGATAGCCGTTACTCTCTGGCGCCTATTATTTTGACAAGCCTTCCATGAAAGGCACTTTTTTTTTTCTCACCTGGAACATAGGGTTGAAGTATCAAACCGCCCGTGATGTTGCGAGCGAAATAGGATATCACCAGAACATCTCGGTGTTAATAATCGCAGGGAAGATGAGAAATGCAGGGCATGTCTTATAGCTCAGCCTCCAGCGAGCACTCATCGCCTTTCCTCATGCTTTGGCTGTGCGTGCATTCTTGAGGTTTGCAAGATGCCTAAGCATTGCTGAATGGAATGCGAATGGCTGGGTGTGTCTAACAAATGTCCCGCCTCTACGCGTTGCCGAAGGTAGGAAGCTCTCTTGCTGGAGGCAGGGCAACTGAGGCTTCTCATAGCCATTCTCATCTTGTGAGGGACTTAGTCATTAAACCATTTTAAAAGTGGCAGTGCTACACCATACAATAAAGGTTTTTACAAAGGCAATTTGTAATTGATCTTGTCAAAAGCTAGTTATAAATAGAAAGAAAAAATATCAACTTACTTCAGTGAGAAAAACGGATGGTGCCTTGTATTCAAGTTTACAAAAACATTTCTACTGACAACCTAAAAAAATCCCATTGAATGGTGCTGTTTTTAACTGGAGTAAAGAGACCCATGTCTGTGTACAACTAGCTATAGTCCGTTGCAACCTAAGGGCGAGGGTAAGATGGGCCGGGGAGGAGGAAGCAGACGGAACGCTGGAGAAGAGAGGGGGAAACCTCCTTCTCTCTTTAGTGTTCCGCCTGCTTCCTCCTCCCCAACCCGTCTTACCCTCGCCCTTCGTTCTTAGGTTGCAACTGACTATAGACTCTTTCAAAGCTTATATTAAAGACCCAGGCAGTGACTGTCTACCCTAGATATATCACCATCGTCCTTCACTGGTGCTATGAGACCTCTTCCACAACAATGAAAAATCACAACTTCTCGGAGATGAAATGCATGCTTTAAAGGGGCCCTGCAAGGGCTTTTTGACTGGTTTTTCATTTGCACCGAACCTGAGCGCACTGAACGTAGTCAGTGCAACTTAATTAAACTTTTCTTTTCTCGAATTTCGCTTTATTTTAAAAGTTATAGGCAAATTAAAATTACAAGAACAAGCAAAACATAACCTTTTTCATGACATCCTTGGTCGCTCGAGTGGCCATGAACTAGAAGAGGGCTAAGTGAGCTCAGCGAGCGCTCCGTGTCAACAGCTCGAGAGGGCGCCATATAGCATGTTCTGGAAAGGCTGTATGAAGCGGGCAGCCAGGGGGGCTCGCATTGCATTTGCTGCACGATTAAACACTAATTCGGCATGACACTTCATTGGTCACAAACGACAGCAAACACGGGGTAAAGATCAGTTCAGAACGGGAGCCACTTCGCACTGCCATACCGCCAAAGGGCCAAACCGCAAGCCAAAGCTGCTCGCCGAAGGCCTTTGAAATGCTCGGAACCGGTCGGATTTTCGACTGCAGCGCCGCCGCATACACCCGAGACCTTTCTACGCTTGCCCTCGTCATTGCCTGATCCCACTACACCTTTCTAGTATGCGCCGCCTTTTCCACCGCTTGGGTGGCGGGTATGTCGAAGGGTCGTTTCTTGTTTCCGTACTTTATAAACTGCATTTGTTTCTTTTCTGGTCTAAAATACTGAACAAAAACTACTTTCACAAATAATTGAAACGGTTCTTTTAGCTTTTAGCGGCTCCGACCACTAGTAAGCCCAGGACCAAAGACGTCGCATTTTGCGCGCTTTCAGCAATGCGGGTCGCCCCCGTAGGTAAAGGAGGTTTCTGCGTCGGCCGGTTAAAATATGACGCACTGACATTTAGTTACTTTCTCCGTGCCCGCTGGCTTGCCTGAACGCCAAGAGACGTGCAAACCGCAAAAAAGGTAGACGCTTAAATATGGTTGCAGGGCCCCTTTAATGAAGGGGCAAACAAATCAGTGCAGCCCTTAAAATAAAGCAAGATATAAAATCTGCACTCGCAGAACAGCCGGGCTTTAATTTCTTTATTGCTTTTAACATTTCGGTGTTAACTTGTTTGATTGCTGCAATCTTGTTAGTCAATATTACTAAAAAAAAAAGATGTGCTTGCATTGACCAAAGTGTGAACATTGTTCACACTCTAACAATCTCCAGTCCTGCTTGGCAACGGTAGCAATACATGTACCAACGTTCTCAGATCTAGGTCAGTTGACAAACTTCGGAAAACGCCCGACGCCTTTTTGCAGTGTGTCCGCTCAGTGGCGTCTGCCGCAGTATCAGCCTGCCCTTTGGACAGATCCAGTGGAATGTTGGATGCACATTACCTGCAGTGGAAAGTGATTTTTTTTTTTTGTTGTTGTTGTTGTTGTTCTTATAGTAAACTTAAGGCCTGCACAATACTTAAAACAGAAAGAGCGTTGTTCAAAAAGCAATTTTCGTTGACCGCAAAGGAATTGGCACTAGGAATGCTATCCGCCCTTACCTGCTTGTGCACCGGCAACAGAGAAAAACTGGTTTAGAGTGCAGCTCTTAGGTGCCCATTTCCACGCTTCATTGCGTCGCCGTCTGCATGATCACCTTGCTGAATTTAGTGAGAAATTGAATTTGTGTTGAGGTCACGCAATGTCAATTTTTCTGCTAAATCTAGCTGAGGAACTGAATTTGTTTGTGAGTGACGTGGCATGAAGTCATGTGCCATTTAGCAGGGTTGTTTCCTCAACACCAATTCAGTTTCCCCGCTAAATATAGCGGGGAAACTGAATTGGTGTTGAGGTTGTGTGACATCAATTTCCCCACAAGATTTAGAGAGGAAACTTAAACCGCTAAATTTAGCGGGGAAATTCTTGCTAAATTTAGCAGGAAATTTAGCGAAAATTGCCTGCTAAATGGGAGGGGGAGGAGAGGGTATGGAGGGATAGGAGAGGCATAACCTCCCCTCCCCCTACTCAAGCGCTGCGCTCCAATTTCATGTTACAAAGAATTGTAAACGTCTCAATTTTTTTTTTTTTTTTTTTTTTACTGCTGCTTTTCTATGGAGCTTGTCAACCGACAGATCTAAGAAAGTTGATGTGTACGGCCCGAGCAGAGGCATCTATTTTTCCAAGCACAAGTTTTGAAACCCCCTTTTTTATTGAATTCTTTCAAGAAGACACTCCGTTTAGAGGAAATGGCAACGAATCTCCTTTTAGCAAATTTGTTTTTAGAAAAACAAAATTCACCGAACTTGACTGCTTGCTCTAGCATTTGCTTGTCCTGCCTTGGCTGATGGCAAAGCCGAGCCAGTCAGTCAGTGAGTCGCTCGCTTGGGCGGCCAGCATATTCAGAGCATGATCGACAAGTTTTTATGCATGCCACATCCCTGCTGTTTTCGCAAGAATAATTTTACATTTTGCCTGGTTTACAGCCCAAGAGAGGAGAGTGGGTGCTCAAGCATAGGTCAACATGCCTCAGTGCATCATGCTCTAGTCTTTAGCATCTTCCAGACTTGCTTATGTTAATCGAATGGATTCACTAAACGGTGCTCCTTTGCAACCGATTGTTGTAGGCTGCACCTACAACAAGCAGTTGTAAGTGCAGTACATTCTATTAGCATAAAATAAAGGCACACAGCCAAATCACCTCAATGATGCCTAGCAAGTGGCGAAATAAACTTCCCTTTAACAAAGCATGTGTAGCTACCGAGACATCACATTATTCAGAGTGCAGATGCAGAGTAGCTTTCTTTTGGCCTTTGCATCATCTTCCATTGTCCAGGCACAAGCGGCACTGCCGAAAAAGACCAATAAATAAATATTCAACACGGTGTATTATTCACTTTTGTACCTGCAACATTACCGTCCTATATAGATAGTCGACAGCTGCCCCGGCAACTTTCCGGACATGCGGAATCAAAACATCTCATCAACACAAGTGCTATTCGCCACTGCCGTAAGTTGAAGAATACTTTTCAAAAAAATAAAAGTGCATCTTTCAACGCAGTGTCTAGCGTAACCTTACCCCAAGATTTCGAGTTACATCTAAGGTACCCAATATGAAAAATAAAGTTTGGTCCGACGTAACCTAATATGAAAATTAAAGCTATGACAAACAGAACCCAAAATAAAAGTTAGTTACGTCCTATGTAACCTACGCAACGTAAGTTTCGCTTTACGGCCGATGCACGACATAAATACAAAAATGTCATGACTTACTACTGCATAACATCCGATGCAGCATTCATTAGTCAGTTAAAATCTCAACTCTATCCGCACCTCCAGCTTTGTTGAGGGGGCTGGAGTGTTCCTCGCACATTGAAGCTGCTGAAACTGGGCATCCCCTCCTCTAAAACAATTTACTCAATTGTAGGTACTGGAAACAGAAAATGAACCAGTGTGTGATGGGTTTGGGAGGGAAATAAACGTGGACAAAGGCAACCAAGCAATTTAGAAGAGACTAGACCCGCCGAGCTAACGTTCTGTACGAACAATCTGAACCTTATATACTAGTTCTTGTACAAATACAAGATACCCACGATATTCCGCGATAAGTAGCCACCAAAATTAACATACCAATTAGGCAGTTCTGTTCGTAAGTCACGCAAGTCGCCGAACTCTCCTCGCAGAACGTTCGCGAAACAAAAACGGCCATCTTGGAAAAATCAAAATAGTGATGGTGATAGCGATGGGGCTTCTATAAAAACTCAGAGAACAAATGTAATCCCTTTATCTGATATATAAAAGAAAAAAAAAAAAAAAAAAAAAACTTATGGAAAACATTTACCCTAGCAAAAACTTCTTAAAATAATGGTAAAGTTTAAAATAAAGATCTAAAGTTTAAACATTTAGTTATGTTAAAATACACTTGGTAAAGTCTATAAATCTTGTTTCAGTAATTAAATGCAAACAGGACACAGACTTCGTAACCCTTCTTGCTGATAGCCTTTCCTTGCAAGCGTGAATGGTCAAAAGCCGATGCCATAATAGGCAGAAATACTGCGTAGATAGCACGCTTAGAGTGTCCAGAAAAAATTAATGGGGGATGTCTATCTTCTTTCCATAAACCTTTTCGGAGTTTACCCTTCCTGCACGTTTCACAGTAATCTGCGGCATGGATTCACCACACTGTTTTTGTGAAGTGTGGCAAAACGTATGCACCACCATAAGAAAAAAATATGACAATTTATTTAAGTACAACAGGAAGCCACGAGAGGGGAAGATGGCAAGATCCGATCCACCAAAAAGGACTGGGCCTAAGAGTGCAGTCTTGAAAGGCTTGGCCCATGAATCAGGACGATTTGAAACCTATGATGAATGCAGAGAACAAAGGGGTCGATCAGGTGAACAGTAACTAATATCTGACCCTAACATGCAGGGCAAGATCTGTTTTGTTTACCTAATATTTGTTATGCCACCAAAACCAACGTTACTAAAACACTCAGCTAGGAAACTCAACCTTGGAACCTGGACTGCTGGCGTCCACCGAGACCAAACTAAATATGATAACAGTGCCACTCTTTAGCAACAAGTCAAAACATGAAAGTTGCCTTGCATAGCTACTCCAAGATGGCCCTGCGAGATGACACCAGTGGCCCTTCCGAGAATCTACGGAACCAGTCAGTGCAGCAGTGTAGTTCACGGAGTGGCCACCGCGGGAGAAACAGTGGCATTGCGATTGCATTTAGTTTGATTCTCTCATATGGATTGAAGCCACTTTTTCAAAGGAGGCTCCTATAGCAGTTTTCCAACCGAGTGTACTAGTCACATTGTCAAAAACTTAATTTCTTCCTAACAAAAGCCGGCATAAGTCCATTTTTTTCTAGAAAAAGTTAACCTCGAAGGCTTCAGGGGGGGGGGCCGTCCCCCCCCCCCCCTCCCCCCCCCCCCCACACAGTTTCCCCTAAAATCTGCCAAGAAACTGAGGGAAAAGTGAGGACGAGAGCAGGTGTGGATGTCAGGACACCCGAGCTCTGGTTCGAATGATTAGTGGGTACACCTAAAGCTAGGTGCCTTTGTCTTTACTGCACTCGTCAAAGCCGTTCGAATGCGAGAGCCCAAAGCTGGATACTGGCGTTCTGCATTCGAATGTGTTCGACGAGTGCAGCAGAAACAAAGGCTGCCTTTGTCTCCACTGCACTCGTCGAACGTATTGGGATGCAAATGCCAAAGGCTGCCCCCGGCGTTTGGCTCTCGCACTCGAACGTCTTTGACAAGTGCAGTGAAGACAAAGGCACCTAGGTTTAGGTGCCTCTGCGTTCTGATGTCCCTGCACTCTCGTCTCCCCCTCTCCATCAATTTCTCGGCTCATAGAGTTCTGAAAGTTTAACACTGGCAGTGTGCGACAGTAGGCCAGCAGGATGGCATACTCTCCCCTACATGATACGGAATGAGCAGGATCCAAGACAGACAACTCCGGACGGAACGTCCAAGTTTACAACTCTTTGGCGGCATGCGCTAACTAGCTATCATCATCGTCGTTTTTGACGTCACGGGTAGGGCACACTGGGACAGACTGCGCAGATCTTGGAACCTTCGGCTCGACAGTCAGCGTTATGCGCTGTATCGCGCAGCAAAGCCCATTTCGCGCATTGTTTTTATTTGGTGAAGTTATACTTGAAACCGTGCCACGCGTAGTCATGCTAACAAACACTTTTGGCACTAAGGTGTCGAAATGCTGGGATGGTGATGTACTGTTCTCCACCCCAGTACAAAAAGATGGACGATTAAAATAGAATATCCAGCGCTTTACCCCACTACAACATCTAGCTAGCATGGCGAATAGGGTGTATTTATTTTATTATTATTCAGACAAAATAAAGCTGAGAAAGAAATGTCTCATTAAATTGAAAATAGGAAAGCGAAATTCGGGAATCTCTAACCTGTGTAGTAAACACTTCAGTGAAGGAACCACCAAGATACACTCCGTGTATCTTGGTGGTTCCGATGTGTTTTGTAAGTGCTGATTTCTTATTAGTCCCAAGTTGATTCATTTTTGGTCTTTTTAAACCAGTAAACAAACATTTCCTCAAAACAACTGGCATTGACGGTGGCTGGCTTCCAGAGTCGTCTCAATGAAATCCCTGCTTGTTCACTCGATCGACGTGAAGCATGCGAGACCCCCTCGCGACCGAAGCCTTAAATTTAGTAAGTCGGTGACAATTAGCATCCCAAAAAATTAGGTATACACCTGCTATGAATTCCTACCGTTTGTATGTTTAATTTTTCGGTCCCAATTGCGCATAATGTGTGATGCGCTTTTCAGCGAGCAATTTTACATTTGTAAACAATTCTTAGTAAAAATTTGATAGAACTAATTAATCGATCGCCTGAAATTGCCGCGATGTGACAAACTTCTTTGCCGCGTATTCGATGCGGGAGGAGCTAATCCGTCAGTTGCTGAAGAGCATTAGCTCGTCAGCAACTGCGGTGTCGGCGAAATAGCAGCGGGCGGTGTCGTCACGTGAAACGTCACATACCTTGGTAGTTGCCAACAGATGGGCTTGCAAAACGCTGTTTTCACCAACCAAAAAAAAAAAAGAATCTAGTTGCTATTGTTATTATTTTTTGACCGAATGTAAACAGCAATGGCTGCGCTGATGCTTGTTGGAAACGCATGTGCCCAACTTGCCGGACGAGTGTACTGCTCCACTTTTCGTAATTCTGGGTTCCAAACTGGCTCATGTGACGAAAAAATGTTGCAGATCACATAGGGTTATTATAATGTACGCTAGAGGTTCAAGTGGCGCTAGTGTGCCGACGCAAGTTGAAGCAGACAGCAACCAGTCGAAAATTGACTTCCGGTAATGCATTTCTATGGGGGAAAAAAAAAATGGTGCAAAAACGGCTTCGCACGTGTATTTATGTGCACTGTCGGACACTCTCAGCGCGAACACGACGTCGGCGCTTTCTAGCATCGGTGATATATGTGCCAAACGAACGAAGGTATCTGGAAATTAAGGGAGACGGCCAAACATACTGTCGAACCCGGTTATATCACACCCGTATTTCGAATTATTGTTTATATGAAACAGTCCAAACATCCCCTAGAAAATTGCATTGTTTTTCTGTATCGAATGCCCATAACTCCCATGGAGGGGACACTCGATGTAGGGAACGAAGACGAAGGCGGTTCTTCGCTTCTCCCTATAGGTCGGATTGCGCCGGCCGGGAGCACATAGCTCGGGTTGCGGGGCTGGCAGACCGCCAAGCCAGCATACGCGCACCCGGGAATGCTGCGCAGCGAAAAAGCAATTGTATAAAAATTAAAAAAAGCAACCAATAAAAACAAAAGAAGTGGAGGATGGCAAAAGCAAGGGGAAGGGCACCTGCGCGCGTGGGGAGGGCAGGGAGTGCCCGCTGTTGGAACGGTCGCGTGCGCTCATTTTCCCAAACACCGCTGTCACTGTGTGACTCCTTACCCCCCCCCCAAAAAAAAAAAAAGATTTTGTCAGGTGGAGTGTTTTGACAACAAGGGTTGAGCAATCACACTTTGAACGCCTTATGTTTGTTTACCCTTTCCTTTCCCCGTTATTGCTCCCGTTTCCGGCTTGAGCGGCGTCACCGTCAGGTCTCGACACCCCCCCCCCTGAGGTCACATGACCAGACCTGGGGGGGTCACGTAAACCTCAGTTTACCTTTTTTTATACTTTATTCGCTATCAATTTTACTAACCACTTCGTTCTGTTTTCTTTTTAAATCTAATAAAAGTTACTCGCTATCATCAAAACTGTATTGTGTTGTTATTTTATTTTATGACATGCTTTTTAGAGAGTGACAGCATGTTGCGACATGGTGTCCGCCCATCTTGACCTAAAACAAAGTTCTGTGTCACTCAGGGAATTTCACAAAAGTACTCAGGGGAAACCTGAAAAACTCAGGGAATTTGAAAATGCCAACTTGGTAGACACATTGAATAACTCTATGGCAGATCACTACCTCAAACTTTCGTTAATGCGGGACTGCTTTTTAAAAACTCTTTGCTGTTGAGAGGGTGCAAATGCATTGAACCCTATGGACGTTCGCTGGGGCCGCCAGATTTCTTCGTTGCCGCGAGAATTTCGTTCTTGAAAGGTTCAACTATATTAGCAAAATACGAATCTAAATTAATTTATCCCACCCAAAATAAATTCCATGGCTCCTTATTAAACACTGTGATTTTATCCAAGCCTCGGGTAAAAACAGTTTAGCTTTCTCGGCTCCCGATTGGACGCGTCGCAGGTTTCTGCCGGGCAAGCTTTGTCAACTAACGTCCCAACTCTTTAGCCCCGCACACATGGTGAGAGATATCTCGCAGTGGCTGATGTTCGTTCTGAACCTTTCTTTATCCACCGGTGTATTTGGACGTCTGTACGGCAACAAAATGACTGAAAACTTGCAAATTAAGCACAGGTTGTGGATTGCTTGCTTTATAGAATAGCAGACACACAATTCAAGCTCGTGTCCGATTTTGTTGCTCGTGGGACGTCATTTTTTTAGCAGAAATTCACTTTTTCTGCAGTTCTACTGTCCCGCATGGTGGACAAACCAGTCATCTGCTCTTGTTCCCTGCCTAAGTGATGCATGACGGGAGTGCATTCAGGTACACACTTAATTCTCAGGGTGCAGCGAGTGCATGCACGTGTGGAGTGCCGGCGGCGAAACAAACTCACTTCATGTTGCGAGTGGCTGCGCATGGGCACGACTGCAGCGAAACAAACTCGCTATTAGTTTTCACATGTGGTCATGCACTGAGCACGAGCATGTAGCTTCGTCTTGCATCTTGTTCGCATGCAGAAGTTGCTTCGACGGCGTAGCAGAAATTACACTAGCCTTGACAATAAAGAACAAAGAGGCTTACGCCGAGCCTAGACACTGGTGCAAAAGACGGCCGAGCCAGAAAACCTAAGCCAAGTCGCCACAAAATTATGTTTCGAAATGGCTGAATAGGCAAGACTGAACTGCCACCAAACATGTTCTGTTGTAGAACACAAAAGTACATGCCCTGACACGAGCGTCCAAAATATACTTACAATGGCTAGCGACGCCTCATAAAGGTCATGCAGTGACCCTCTGCTTGGCCGATTAAGCCACACGCAGTGCCGTGCAGAGTACAGGACGACGCCCGTGAGCCAGCCGGTGCGGTGACTCCGGGCCTGCCCGTAGTGTTCCGCTGCTACCTTGGACAAGGCGAAAGCGAGCTCATCGATGCCATGATCCCCGGGACCTGTGGTGTATAACTATTGTGATTAAAAGTCTTACAGTCGCCGACCAATGTCACTTAGTCAAATGAAAATGAAAGAAGCGAGATGTCTTCTTCCACATTTTGCTGTTCTCTATTTTTGTTCCTTTTACATCTCTAGTTGTAAGATCAATGTTGACCAAGTTCTTTTTTGTTATCAACTTGTTCGCATTAAAATCTAAAATTTTACATCAGGGTAGAGTTGTAAAACCAAGAGGGGCTCCCAACACACGCATGCAGCCCCCCCACCCCACTTCATGGGGGTTGTCCTACGCAAGTATGTAGCTGCGCTGTAGAGAAGCATGATACACATGATCTACACGGACTTTTAGCTGCATTCTTCCATGAATCTAATGTCCGCCTGGCCGTATAACTTATAACTGTCATAACTTTCACTTTTTCTTTGAAATCTGTAAATGTTAAAAAAGAAAACCTGTATAACCATAGCTAAAAAAAATCTGACACTTGAATTGCTAAAAACAGTTTGGGGACTTCCAAGAGCGATTATTGCATAAAACAGCTTGTCAATGGTCAGAGCCTAGCAAAGCTCAACCAGCATGGCACTGCCAACAGCGCTGATGTCACTTGCATGACACATCCACATGCCGTGCCAATCATACATGGAACGCATGAAAGCATGGCGGGCAGTCCATGCAGCGTTGACTGTTGGTGGCTGCGGAAGCTCGGCGCAGACACAGAAGCACCAAAGGCGGAGGATGGCACATGTTTTCTGTTGCAGCAATGTCCTTTTGCTCGGCACACCGCCAAAAAACATTTCGGATTGGCGTTCAACATTTCTAATGGTAATCGTCTTATCTGTATGTACTTGGCCGAAAGAACCGTGAGGACATTGAGAAAATCGTGTTCCGCAGTCAATTTACCTGCCCTTCGTAGTACACTATGTACTGGCACGTGACGTTGCTCTGTGTTCCTAGTATTATATTTCTCTTTTTTAGATGGCTGCAAAAGACGAGGACAAAGACATTACAGCAGCACTGCCAATAGTTTCTCCATGTTGAGTGCTGAATTCCTGTGAAGCAGGATACGTTTCTCAAACCTTGCTGGCGCCATGGCCACAAAACGAACAAGTGATATCAATGCATGCCTTTTATATGGTCAGTGACAACTCAAGAAGGTAGGGGAAGAAAAAGGAAGGTGGGAGAGGACGAGATGGATGCAGCGCCGGCAAAGGGAGAGGGTTTGACCAGCATTGTGCCCGCTTCCTCCTCTCCCACCTTCTTTTCCCTGACCCTACCTCCTTAACCTACAACATAGTTCAAATCAAACTGCAAAATTTCTTCGAGGCTCGAGAGTGAAAGCAGCTTGTCAGGATGTATTTTGTGTGAATACCATTTAGCTGAAGTACATTGTTTTTGTGGACTCAAGGTACGTGGCTAAAAAGTCAATGCCAGATGCCAGGGATCTTTGTGAGAAAAAGAACACTTAAAAGATATCCTCGGCTGCAGTTGGCTCTTTGAGTCACATATTTGACGATAGGTATTGTTAACACATATTTATGTGAACACCAGGATGCTGTTTTGATGGTAACATACTAAATGGTGATAAAAAAAAAAAAAAAAAAAAAGCTAGGAGTAGAAGCACATTATCTACCTTTCCCTACCAAAGAACAATGAAACGATTAGTCACCTGCTCAGGACTTTGGTCGTCTGCTTAGTTGTGGGCGACGCCTCTGCGAGCATCAACGACAGCCCCCATTCTAGCGTGCAGAGAGCCATACAGTGCTTCTGTAAAGGATGCCTTCACCATCAGACTTTTAACAGAGCGGTCACTCCTTTTTTTTTCTGCGCACCGAACGAAAGGACGGTACAGTAGCAGACGATGCCAGCATGCACGGCTGCTGGCGTCACTGCGTGTGCTCCAAGCTTCCGCGGGTGCTTGCGGTCCTCGCTGCATGGAGCACTGGCTACGCACTCGCGTGCTCCCTTCAAGATTGGACTGCTCAGTGCACCGCTAGGAAAAGCAGTACAAAACATACCGCGACGATGCATCAGGGGCATGCACTGGTCCCCTGAAGTGTGCTTCGAACCATGTGCAGTGCAGGGTGCAGCACAGCATCCGCGTGAGTCAGCCGCGGCAGTGATTCGGGGCTCGTAGTGTTCTGCGGCTGCCTTGAAAAAGTGAGGGCCAGCTCTTCGCACCTCCTCTGAAAAATGTTTTACAACAGAGAGGTCAGTTATCTCCCTGCCTCTCATTGCCTTTCTGCTGTCCTGTCCTTTGTTCGAGAGCAATCGCTGCTATATTGTGTCTCAGCACGATCACCTTAGTCATACAAAGGAACGTGCAAATAAAGATCATTATTATTAAAGCACGTTTTACCTTCACATTCAAACTTCGGGCCTCCTGCTTTCTCCTCGCGTGTGGCGGCAAGCGTCTGTTGAGGCTACCATGCTTCGAGACGATCCTCGCGTGGTTCAGACCTGCGTTAGATTTTTTTTTTTTTTAATTACGCCCTGGCAGCTCGTTTAAGCGCCTCTCGGCGTGTCCCCGCGCAGACAGTGACAGGCGAAGCATCAGATTCTACGCTTGCTTCGTTGGGCCTTCCTGTCTCGTTGAAAAACTGGATCGAAGTCTGTGTCGATGGCATGCAATCATTGCTATAGCGACTTATTGAGCACTTGCGGTCATACGGAAGCTTCCAAAATTGTGAGCGCGCTCCTAAGCCTTTGCGGAGGGCTCTGCTAGCCGTCACGTCCGCATGTTCTACCGAACGATTTCGGGCGAGCGGTTGGTAAAGGCAGCTCAAGAAACAAGTCGACACGTTGAGCGCACGAAACCCAATTCAAATCCGCTTGGATGGCATCAGCATTCAGCACGTTCAGCACCGACCGACCATTCCCGCCATTTCTGGTAGCGCCTTTGTTCCCGGACGCACCGGACTAAATTATGTCAAACGACTCCAAACGGAACTGAAGCAATAAAGTGCGGTGAACACTCACCTTTACGAATACCTCCTGTTCTTGGTGTTCTTGGAGATGTACGAGAGGTATTTGGCGGCTCTGGCGGTTCGCGATCGACGCCGGCACTTATCCGGCGAAACTTAGTGCATACATTGTTTTTGTTGTCAACGGCTGCCACTGCGCACGGTCAACCTCGTTCCACTCGAGAACTTGAGCTGCTTCAGCTGGTTATCGACGGTTAAAACGTCGCCACCCAACACCTGAACGTAGAACGAAAACAAAAACATTGCCCCCGCGGCCAAGGGCGCCAAGGCGGAACAGAACGGAACCGTACCAGCCAAAATTAAAGAATCAAGCAAGGAAAAAAAAAAATTAATAAAAAGTAAAAACAAACAAAAACAAGAAAAGTACTTTTTTATATATTTTTACTTTAAAACGTCATCTAAAAATCAACAAAATAACAAAACCGGAAGTGACGTCATTTTTTTTTCAGCCAATCGGCGTTTTCAGTTTTACTGCCCCGAAACGCTTGTGTTGCGACACGATCGCCGCCTGGCGTTGACAGACGGCATTCAGTACTGTCGGCCGCTTTGGTATGGGCGGCTTATAATCGAACCATATGAACTTCCGCGTTATCTGCTGTCCGTTGCAACTTTAAGAAGGTAGGGCGAGGGAAATCAAGGCCGGGAAGGAGCGGAGGAGGAAACGGGCGGACGTTGAGAGAGGAGGAGGTTTCCTCCACTCTTCTACAGCGTTCCGTCTGGTTCCTCCTCCCCGGCCTTCCTTTCTCGCGCCCTACCTTCTTGAGATGGATGTTTGTACAGACAATGAACGACTTGCCTTTCCGTGGCACCGCGGCCCTCCTGAGCCAGAATAAAATATCAATATCAATATATTCTCTTTTTGTTTAATAATTACTCCCATTACTCCTTGTGCTGCTACGGGGGGCAGAGCTTGCACATGACGTAATTTCCCGGATTTGCACAGGCGTCGCTATTCTCCTAACCTGTCACTCAAAATTCTTACAAAAGCAGCTTCCCTCTCCTCCTTTTATTCAAAAGTATGCGATGTGACGTCAGTGCAAGGAGCAGTTTTTTTCTCTGCCTCCTTTCTGTGATTCGGGGATCAATAAAGAATTTGAATTTGAACATTAATAAAATCCATTATGGGTGCGATTATCTTACACTTTCCACTTTACTACAAACAAATAATGTCATTCGCAATTTGTTTTTCTTTTTTTACAATTTGTATTAAAAATATACAGGGAGTTCCCGAGAAAAGAGAGCCTTGTTATTCGGCCTGGATAAATAAACTATGCATCGCAGAAAGCTCGAACTTCGTAAGAATGTGAAGCTAGCAGTTGGAATAGAACGCGAAAGTGAGAGAACATGACGTGCATTATCTGGACCTAATATATTTGAGGAAAAACGAAACTTTTCTATGAGCCGACGTCCAACAAGCCTAATATTGTCAAGATATTGTGAACGTTTGTGGAATTTGTAACAGAAAAAACACTTGTCAGCAAGAGAATGTTGTTTTCTTTCTTGTTGACAAGTTTAACTGAAATAGGCTCTACAGGTGCCCAGTTTCATTTCTTGTTTTGACAACGTTAGACTTAAGTGGTTGTCAGCTCATTAAAAAAAAAAAAGTTTTGTTTTTCTCAATTATGTTTTGATCGAAGTAACGTCATGTTCTTGAACTTTTGCATTCTATATACCAACTGATAGCGTCACATTCTCACGGAGGGTGAGCATTCTGCAATGCATAGTTTACTTACCCGGGCAAAAAAACACTGTTCTCTTTTCTTGGAAACTCCCTGTACTTACCAACTTGGGTACAGCTACTAGTTATAGGTGAAACGCATAAAAAAAAAAAAGACCTTGTGGACCAATTATTTATTCACCATTTTATTGTACTAGCACACACTCTTTAACATTGTTGACAGTCGGAAGGTATGGCTCTTCTTGCAATTGTGAAGACGCAACAACTTTGTACAGGTGAAAGGAACAGACTCACCAATCTGAGTTTTATTTTATTTCTTCTGTTTGCAGCACATTGAGTCTCTGGCTTGCACAGCCTACACTAATGCAATTTAAAATGTCCTTCCTACATCTTTCTCGATATCTCTCGTTTTTTTACCTAACGTATGAAAAGTCAGCTTTCGACAGTAATTGCAGGTAGATGTAGACAACATGCCTGCGTGTGTGCATATATTGTGCTAAACATCTTTGCCATTCTTTTGCAAAAGAATTGTAGTTCTCATATTTCTCCCCTTGGAATGCTCCGGTTACAAAACAACTGCATACACATCTGCATGACCGTACGGCAAAGACTGGCTACGGTACGGTAATTTGAGCCGCTTTGTCAGCTTGTACTCAATGCATAGTCACGGAGACCGCTAGGCATAGTCCCGAGCTACGAGCCCGCGTCAATGGAAATACATAGATGCATCAGATGGCACACGATATCAGTGGGCCAGACATACACTTTGAATCCTGACAAAGTTGGTCCAGTGTGTAAAATATAGTAACCACATGTCTTCACGACACCCTGCTGCATGCGCACATCAAACACCGAGTGCTCCACAAATTTTTTGACCCACTAAACTGTCGCGTAATAATTGACGAGTGGCTACGCCATCCGGACATCGAAAATCCTAAAATTCTGTTTCCTAAAAACGTTTACAAACAGTAGACGCAATGTAGACATTTGTGCTGAACACTTCACAGTGCATACCCCTTGTGGCAGTGACAACACCTTTAAAAAAGTTATTTTTTCGTTGCGTAAAGTTCCGACGGAAAGATTTATACCGTGTACAAGTAAACTATGGACAGACAGACAGAACTATCATATGAAATGCCACACTCCGTTCAGTCGTAATATCTGGAATGGCAATAAAAGAGCTACGTTGAAACAAATTGCTGTGCATGTTGCCTTACTTCACATTCTCAACAAGGAAGTATAGTCTACAATCTACAAAGTTGCTGCGAAATGTACGAAAACAGGACACACAGTTTTCGTTTCTTTTGTAAATATAATTATACGGACATAACCAAAGAATATGCGTCGCAAGTTCAACAACACCAGGCAATATTACGGGAGTCCGAACACCGCGATATCCAAAAAAATATATCCATGCAAATACACATAAAGGATTTCTTTCTGTACGCCTCTAGATAGATTCTGTCATCTCAACATATTCTTACACTTCACCGTTGCCGACACGACATGAAAATATACTGGGCCTGTCTTTCCACAGTCACGAGAGCTGTCCATATAAATATCCCATAAATAATATGTCAACAGTGCTCTCCATCCGTAAATATATATATATATATATATATAATACGCCTATGCTCATAAAAGGCAGTGGACTGGCACATTTAGTCTCTTTTGTTTTACGATATGTTATTTGGTTATACACTAACATGGTACAGTGGTAACTAGACGTAATGCTGCACAGTCACGCCACCTAGTTGCTCAACGCCACTACTATGCAGCTAATAGACACATAAGACGGAAGAGGTTCGAACGGTGACTGCTTACGAGAATACTTTTGGTTTTGCACAAACTCGAGGAGGAATGATGCAGACAGATTTTTCAACCCTAAATCAAATTAAGGAGTGCAGCCAATAAAATTCAAATGACAAGCAAAAAGAGGGAAACCCTACACTGCACATTTGTACCATGCCACATTTTCTATCAAACCCCTACATGCAAAACAAACGGAGCAGGCAAAGAGTCAAATACGTCGTAAAACCACCAAACTTTCTAAGTTTCATTTGAGGACACTCGCAGCTCTTACAAAACTTGGTCCCGGCAAGCAATCACCGCCCGCGCAGAAATCACGTCCACCACAGTGGCCAGGGGAACGCACGGAAGCCTGGGTTTTGCATAATCTGGTTAAATTAACGACACATCACTATTGCGCTACTATACTGTACGCATCGTCGTGCTGGATTCAAATGCAAACTGACGAGGTGGGCTTTGGACAACGATCGTGCCCCTTAGTTAGATAATGGGGCAATAATGTTACATTAATTAATCATGGTTGGCCGGATTAAAACGGGAAACCTGGTCTTCAATCGCATTTGCAACCGAGTCCAGCACTGTGTTGCGCGCACATAAAGACCAGTACGAGCGTGCATCGCGCGAGGCAAAGCGGTTGTACTTTGTCGTTGTGAGACACTGCGAAAAATCCCATGCTCGTGATACGTCGCCTTCTGTATATTCGGAATGTTAACCCGTAGACACTGACGCCGTCTGCTCCCAGTGGCGTCCTAACGAGCCTCCAGTGGATTCACAAGCACTTCTCTTACCAACGTCGACTTCAGAAAAAAAGCATGCAAGCCGCGACCAAAGCGGTGAACCCATTTTTCTATCATCTTTCTACCGTGAGTGGCCCTTGCCCGTTTTTCCCGCGCACACCTGCAAATGTGCCCGCAGCAGAATCGTCACAGAGCCGGTGACGACCCGAAATTGCAAAAAAAATAACAGAGCGAATAAACTGGAATGTCAGGAGTAAAAGCATACTGCGGGAACTGTTAAGCAAGCTGTACTCAATTGCCTCCCCCCCACCCTCCAGTGAAGGTCGTCAAATTCCACTTCAAAAATATAAAGTTGGAAGGCTCTAAAAAAGGCGTAGAAATATGTCGACTACGCACGTTGTGCTGATGTGAACACACGACATGCCACCTCTCATTTCCATAGAACGAAAACAAGAAGGAAAGTCGCGCGACAGTACGTCGCAACACCTAGCCCTTCGCAAGCGTCGCAAACAGATCTGAGCTGGGTAATTAGGTGAGTTGTACTTTGAGCCACCCACCAACAAGAATGCGCGCAGAGAGCTCTCGCGGTCCAATGGCAAGTTCTGGCCCAGCCGTCACTTAGAAAATATACGAAACTCGCGACTTTAGTTGCAATAAATGTGCTATAAATACTAAACACTCGCATGCTCGCCGCCAACACTTGGCTGCTCTTGGAACGAAGGGAGCCCAAAAGTCTCACCGTTCCAGAACAGGAGCCTGCCAATAGACCGTTTTCAAAATTCAGTGACATCTGGTGGCTCAACAAGCAGTTTCAATTTTGGCAAACTAATGAAGTTCATGAAACTGAAGTTAGTCGGGCACCATCACTTTCGCAAGTCATTGGAAGATGAAAATTGGTTCTTCGATCACCTCATAATTCTTTTTTGATTTGTTTCAGTTTGAACATAAGAACTGACCAGTGCAAAGCGGCGAACCATAAGTGCCTCGATTATATTTCTGCCATCAAAAGGCTTTAGTGCCAAACTTGTACCAAATAGATTGATTGGACCACACTCCGGAATCAACGCTTATGCAGCCGTTGTATCCAATTTGTGCGTTGTGTTGTATACTGACATCTCAAAGAAACAGGTCTCAAATATCCTCCGTTTCATAGTATTTTCAATTTCTTCCTTTGTCAGCCTCAAGAAGGCCACCATTAGAGTGGCACAGATGCAATACACTGGAATGCTGACAGTGATCAAAGTTGCCGGACAAAATTTTGAAAATGGTCTATTGTCGCGCCTCAACCCATCTCCAAAAAAACGGACGCGAGCATTGATGCCGGTCCGTACACCACTCTCAACTTTGTAAACAAACTCACTGGTGCTCGAAAACCTTCAACAGGAGTGCCGTCAAAATCGGACCCTGCACTCGGTTCTATGAAAAGTCCCTAGACTCCCCGACAGAGGACAAAAATATAAGCTGCTATGTTTCCCCACGTCTAACAAAACCTATCTAGGGTCCAACAGGATAAAGGATTCAGACGCAGAAGTAGGATGGGCAGCCGTTTGTGACCTGCCTCCCGGCTGCGTTCTACCACGAGTTGCGTCGTCATCGCTGCCCGCACGTCGATCGTGCGCAGCGGATGGTTCTTCGTGCCGCCTCGAGCTCCAAGCCTGTGGGATGCACCAGTTTGTTTCAGAAGCGAAAAAAGGTGATTTGGCAACACGCGAAACTCGTCAAATAATGACTGGAATGGATGTAAGAAACACAATGACACAGGAAGTGCATTAACGTGTCCGAAGCCGAGAGACAGTTCTCAACTGACGAGTTTAAATTGGCCAGTTATCTGTAATGCTCAATGTAATGCAAAACTTATTTTATTTATCTAACTGAACAGTGAAAGATAAACTGAAATGAAAAATAACAGACCGAAAGTCAACCTCGGTCTAAATTTCACCAATATATTGTGGTGTGTCATGCCTGAACTTATAAGATGACTATGGATAAGCATTAAGATATACAGAAGAACTAATAAATACCAATAGTATACTAGTCAAGCGAAGTATGGTTGTAAGCAGTACTACAGGCATCTAAAATAATGATGTAGTGAATAGATTTCCTAAAAAAACTGACTTTACTACCAAATTGTTCTACTGTGTAAATTTCATCACAAAATGAGTAAGGCAGTCACTGTTGTAGCACTTTAGACAAGACTTGCAATTGTGCCTTGCCACATGACTCTTTAAATACATAGTCATTATTGACCATCTACTTAAGTCCTCTCTGCATGGCACTACTTCATCTCCTTTGAACACGAATATTCCTTAATCAAGGAAAAAGCCACTCACTGTCTGGCATTCGAAGTTCCGCAAGGTGAGCATATTCTTGCTGCCTCATACCATTGCAGCATACTGGATGTATCTGAAAAGAGGTCACAGAATTCCCACGTCAAAGTACATACTTTGTGAATCGCCAAGTACTTACAGTCACGACTATCTTACACATCAGGAAAGAATTGCTAGATTTGTTGGCGAAAAGCAAGGCAACTACCACAACCAAATTATGATTATGACTGACATGAGTACATCAGTTGGAGTTCATCGTTTCCAAGTTCACAGGGAAATAGTAAAATATCTCCAAATGCACAGAGTTTAAACTGCACATATAATATAAAGCTAAATATCTGGGAACCTAAATGAATAAATACAGTTTACTAATTTACTAATTCAAGCGGTGTCGCTAGCTAGTTTCCTAGTTGCAATACTTTTTATTAGCTAGCTCACTTACTAAAACATTTTACTAGTTAACCAGTAAAAGCAATAGGCATGTATGAATAGTAGATATTGAGTTCGAAGCAAATTCAGAGCGAATAGTGGTTTTGGCCGAATATCTTCTAGTTGAATATTGACCACCATGCTTAAACAAAAATCCAGCTGAACACACGACGGTTATTCCCAAACTTCCACTTGTACACTTCTAAGCAAGTTAAAATTTCAATATAAACTACATTTATGAACTGTGGCAATGAACAACAAACTTGTTGCAATTATCCTAACCTAGGAGATTTATAGAATGTTCTTTCTTCAATTTTAAGGTTGACCAGAATAAAAAAACAAGCATGAATGATGCACGCAAGTTGTCAAGACATCGCTGCCTAACACATACTCTCGCATAATCAAGGCGGTTAAGACCCGTTGAGTGCGCTTCTCATCGAGCACCCGTGCACCGCGGGGAAGCAGTACCCGCGAAGCTTGCGTGCTCCGCGGGTGCAGCTTCTCCGTAGTGCACAAATAATCGGTGAAAAGCGACTCAACGGGTCAAACCTGCTGCGATCAACACTTCGAAAAATATCGCAGTTCATCTCAAAGCGAATATTCAATAGCGCATAATTCGAAAGTGCTATTCGAAATTTTTAATATTTGCACAACTCTAAAAACACTCTTACTACTAGCAGCCACATAGTAGCCTACTAAATCAAACTGTGTCACAAGTTTTATAAATACTTCTACTACAGTCTACCAAATAAAGCTTCTCTTTCACCGGCTTCGTGAATGCAGTTTTGAGCCGTTGCACATAAGAAAACAAGATGTAATGAAATGTTTTCGTTCGTTAGAAACTTCTTGAACCGTACCAAATGAACATGCAACAGGTAGAAGCTGCGGTGATCTTTCATTGGGGAGTTTTAGATGGTTCAGACACTTCCGATAATGACGCCCGAAAACGATGCAATGCATGCGCAAAGGTGTTGGTAGAGTAACAGCTATCATTATCGGAGGAATCGGAACGATCTACATGCATGACAAAAGCATCCAGCAGAAATCCTCGACAACAATCCAGCCCGTGTTTCTGGTAAGTATGGCTACGGTGCCTGGAACGTGTCTCCGACTGGTGTGTTCAGCGCCCTATTCCGAGCATGCACCGAAGATTCTCCCAAAGTGGCAACAAGCGACTTTGCAGAAGCGGGGACGTCACGCAGTCGGATGTCGCAATCCTGGTGTTGGGCGTGGAAGTTATGGAAACAAGCACGAGAGGATGCGAGTGTTGCCATTGTCATGGCGTCCCAACTTCTGGCTGCCGAAGCTTCCGTGGGCTGCCAAGCTGGAAAGCGACCTGCAGCGCAACAGGTGTCCGCCACATCCAGGGGCGTTGGAACTATTCAGGAGACGGGGGGCTGGTGGTGGTTGTGGTGGGTGGTGACGGTGACTTTGCGCCCCCTCCCCCGTATTGTTTCCATTAAATATCTGAACTGCCTGGGGAACAGTCGCCCCCCCCCCCCCCCCCCCCTTACCCTGCCCCCCCTGTTCCGACGCCACTGGCCACATCTACCTTCGCTGCTGCGACGCCGCCAGGGTCGCAGCACGCGACAGCGTGACGCTTCCACGAGGTCGTCGGGCGGAAATCGAGAGACCGCTTCTTGGGGCGCGGTAAACGCGGAGGTGTATTCCTTAGAAGCAGCACACACCTGGAGTGTTTCTTTTTTCTCTTTTCGCTGGCAGTGCAGAGTAACAACATGGCCGAGATGAGCCCAAAGAGCTGCACGAAGGCGAAGCTCATGCAGACTATGCCCACGATGTAGAGTCGCTTCATGATCCACATGTGTAGCTTCTGGTAACAGCCCTGCAATGTGTGTGCAAGAAACGCGTGAACGCTGAGAAAGTGTGCGCCAGGGGAATGTCGTGCACCTGCAAGTTGTTTCACTAGTACCACAAAACCGTCAATGAAATGCCTGTTGTTAGTGGAGAAGAACTATTATGACTATCCACTAATGATAGCTTTTCAATATTCCACTATTAAGAAGACACTGAACTCTGCTTTCTGCCTCCCCCCGCCGCCACCCCCCCCCCCCCCCACACCACCCCCCACAAAAAAAAAAAAGATTTATTTTTACAGTTTGGATAGGATACACATGCCACAAATCGAATTCCACCCCCCTCCCCAAAGAAAAAGAGAAAAGATTTTCAATGCAATATTTACACCACTATAAGATACATTTGCAGTCAAGAGTGATTTAAAAACTGAAATAGTCTATCGAAATTCTCTCCCCAACATCCATCCAATTAAATTTTAATGGGAGAGAACCTCAACTTCACCACAGATACTTTTGATAACAGAACCCACATTCTCACCAGATGACCATCGAAATCAGGAGCGAATGCAGGTGTTTCGAGAGAGGGGGGAGTCAACATATCAGATGTTTGAGAAAACACCCCCTACCCTTCTTTTCCCACCCTACAATTTTACACATGCGGAATTCAAGGCCTTTTCCTTCCCCATCTCTCTCCCTCCCTCCCCTCTGAATCCACCACTGACTGAAACCACTAGCAACCACCACAGCCATGCAAACTCACGTGGATTTGATTTGATTGGATCTATTCGCTATTATCTTTGTAACGGGTAAGCCCGGATTCAGGACATGTCGGCAGTAAAAATGGTACACAGCAATACTGCTACAAGCTATGGAGAAACAAATTTTTCCTTTTAACATAGAATACATTAGGCATGGCTATTCGAAAAATGACTAATATAAAAAAGCGCCCCTCTAACATCCGCTGAGCCATATAAACACGCAGTGAAAACCGCATGCATAAATCTTTCTCCCGCTTAATTAAAAATTTGGCGCAGGAAAAAATAAACACCCGTGTATATTTCATAAATTTATGCATGCCAGCAAAAAGTTGTGAAGCGTACCCCCTGGTGCAGCAGATCAGGGTTGCCAGCAGTACCACAGGCAGTACCGTTAACAAACTCGTCCAGGCAGCACGACTGGGGCACCCACTCCTGCTCCGGCCACGCTGAGATCCGGTGCCAGTCCCGGTAGCTGCGCACTCCACAGCACTGGAACTGAACCCAACAGGGTATTACCATTGTGCGATTCGCAGGAAATCAATCAATCAGAAGAGAACTCAACTGATTGGCACGGGTATGAGAAGAAAATATTTGGCCAGGACTCTCATTTCTTTCATTGGTCAGGGTTTCTGCTCCTGGCAACCATTTTATGTCGTAAGAATATATCAAACAAACCGTTATCAGCAGCAATGCTTCGTAAGATTTTAAATCAATGTACTATTACTAGAATTTTTACCCCCTCCTAATTGAGTCAATCAATTCACCATGAGCACTGAAAAAAAAAAACTTGATTGAAGTTAGACTACTACACATGATGACAGGCACGTAGCCAGGATTTTGTTTCGGGGGGGGGGGGGGGCACCCATAACAAAAAGCTGTATGAGGGGGAGGGGGGAGAGGAGGTCCCAGCAAAATGGAAGATTTTTGGGGGGGGGCCCGGGCCCCATGGGCCCCCCCCTGGCTACATGCCTGCATGATGATGAATGTGTTCTATTCAAATCAGGTTCTTCATTTACATCACAGGCAAGGTTCGCTCATGAAAAGGCAGAAGCATGCAATGGAAACCACAACATGAATCCCCATTTTGGTACTAATACTTTTAAAAGGATCGACTGAGCGTGACCACCGGAGTAGTGTGTGACATTGAATTTGATCTTGAACAATTAAATGTGTGCCAGTAAAGCGAGACCCTGAGCTGCTGCTGCTTCTTCTTCCTCCCTTTTCCCAAACACACATGCAAGAGCGACTGACACTCACTTTTGAGTGGATGTGGTCCCAAACTTCAGCCAGGCCATTGTAGTTGTCTGGGTTGTACTTCAATTGGATGCCCACCTTCATCTCCTCCATGAGTGACTGGCCAATCTGCAAGATCAAACGCATGTCGTACGCTGAATGTTGCATCAACAGAAATGAACCCTTAAACACGAGGAGGAATGCTTATGCATTATACGGCAGTGCAAACAACGCTAAAATTGAAGTGAGACTGAAGACATGTGGGCCAATTAAGATCACAGAGTCTGACCGTAGCCATTATGCTTGTGAGTTCACATAATAGTCCAAGGTAGTGGATGTTACAATGGTCACCCCTGTATACAAACCAGTAAATCTTTTCGGATTAACTCTCATTGATGCTCTTGACAATTCAAAACCATGGCATAGGTTTTCAAGCCTGGTTCCTTGAGCAGCCAAATAAACTTGATCATCCCTACTCTTAAGTGTGATTTCTCAGCTATGATCTGATGCATTTCCTAGCCAGACACCTCTACCTTCCTTAATGTGTACCGAAAGAACTCTGCATCTACCTCTTTGTTTCAATAAAGAAATTCTATCACTCTGTCTCTTCCCCCACATCCAGCATCATGCTCATTTACCTACAGAACATATTGGCAAAGCCATACCAGGCATCAAGATTGGTGCATGAACACTCAACAAATATCATCCACATCTTTGTCTATTTTTATCCCGTAGAATTTGTGAAATTTATGGTTGTGAAGTCATGTCCGTCCCATGGCAAGAAATGCAAGGTTTTAAATGTGGGCAAAGAGTGCCACTTACATGTCGCCGGTACACAAATCCCAAAGTGCCCGCAGCAAACTCGAGCAAGAAGATGAGGATCACCAGGACAAAGTACTGCAAGGTAACAAGTGCCCATTTAAGACCAATCAAGACAAGTCAAAGCAAAAGAAGGCCGCAAGATGAGCCTTAACAAAAGGCCATGACAAGAGAGCATTCCTGACAAGCACGCCAGGTGCCTGCCATTAGTAGGCACATCATTCTCTTCACTGTAGGAAAATCAAGTTTAAGCATATCACTAGACCCAATGCCATAGAAGGGCCAAAAAGGGTTTATTGAATGAGACTGCCCTTTTATAACATTCAGAAAACCCATAATGATATGCACAACCTCAATTTTCAGCGAGGCAGAAGGTCCTTTGTTTCGTCCTCTCCCAAATTGTGGCAAAGGAGGGAAAACGGGAAAAGGACATGGCTCTGTATGCTTCCAGTACAGAGGAGACGGAATGAAACTCGTAGGGAGTCTAGAAACTACTACGATTCTATTGGGCCTGCTGCAGGGAACAATGTAAGGGGGCAGGGAATTAGAGGATACGCAATAGTGACTCACGGTGACTAGCATGCACCGGCTCTGGAACCAGGCCCCGCAGCAGCCCAAAAAGGCCACCAGGAAGGTGACCACTCCGGCAGTGAGGCAGAGTCCGTCTGCACTCAGCATGCGGTACGTGGGCAGCACCGTCGAGTATCCCCCGTACGCCACGTGGAGCCACACCCCGACCCCTGTCATGCCACAGCCTAGGATCTGCGAGCGCAGCAAGGTGGCCGGAACCAAAAGAATCAGCCCACCGGCTGACACGAAACAAGCCAAGTCGAAATTCGTGCCTGGCAGGTAAGAATCTGTAGAGATTGTGTAGAGATGTCTCCACGTCATGAACCAAGAGTCCTACGGTACAAATCACTCCGAGGCTATTGTAGCAATTCATCTGATGAACCAGATGGTACTCTTCACCTCATATAATGCAGTCATGTCAACTTTTTTTTAATGGTTTTAGTGTAGTCAGTATTTTACTAGTTGGCAGTCACCAAAAAGCTTGTTCTCAGGACGATCTTCTTGCGACGCAAATGCGCGAGGCAAGGCTCACCCAGAAGAGCAGGTTGTAGCAGCAGAGGGTGTGCCTCACGCAGGTGTACCCGGTCTTGCCCATCGTGTCGTTTTTTACACGTCCCTCCTGAAAAAGAGCACCACAGCTCAGCAACACAAATCTGCTTTTTTACCCCGGGGTCTGGAGCACACAGTATAAATGCCCACTCCGTGACACTAATAGTGCAAACAAGCCATCGCCAGTTTTTTCTGTTTGTCTTTTTTTAAGCAGTGAAGCACTGAGTGCTCAGTTAGGAACTAATTTAAGTGGTAAATCTTGATTTCTGCCAGAACTTTTTCAAAGTAAAATGAAAAAATTGCAGGAAGATTCATTGGTGGACTTTAGGGAATGCACACACGTCCCCCTATGGGAAACGCTAACGCTGACCCCTTCACTTCTCTTTTGGCTTTCTCTTTTGCTTCCTTTATTTTTTGCTGCCTCTATTTTTTGCTGCCACTTTCTGGCCTCGTTACGGGGTCAGTGTTAGTGTTTCCCAAGGGTCATGCTAACGGATTTCCTAAGAATCCACCATGGATCTTCCTGCAATTTGTTTCACCCCTTTCTGTACTCTGCCTGTCAGAGTATGTTGACGCCCTTGGATTCGGTCATCCATCACTCGTGGAAAGAACCACATCCATACCACTCATGGAAGGAAATGCGTCCATATCACTTGTGAAGGGAACTGCATCCATCGTTTCAAATACAAACACACATCACAGCCCACGCACCGCTACTACGGAAACCCAGAGCAAAGAACAACCGGCGACGGCAGAGCGCCAACTGAGCACACCCGCATCCCACTGCTCTGCGGCGCAGCGCAACACCTCCTAGATAACAAAGCCGTAGCGCTGAATGAGGTGGCGTCATCAGAAAAGGCCAATGCTGGGCATGAATTGAACACAATGATTGCGTCAACGTTCGGCTCAAACTTAATTCGAAGCCGAGCACTGACGCAGCACTTGTTTCCAATCTGTGTCCATCGTTGGCCTTCTCTGGTGATGCCATCTCATTCAGCACTACAGCTTTGTTGTCTAGGAGATGTTGCACGGTGCCTCCTCCTCTCTGGCTCCGTGCCAGCTGTGCCAGTGACTTTGACGAAAACGAAAGGGCTCGTTCTGACGAAAACCGGCAGAATCTGTCAGTTTGTCAGCACCGGGGAGAGAGGGAGAGGTTGACGTATGCTGACGTCAGCGCTTCGGATCAATGGGAGCGTTGCATGCGTCACCCTCACCCCCTCTTTCTCCCTCCGGCAATGACAAATGAAAGACGTGTTTTCATCAAAACAAGCGCTCTAATGCCAACGGATTAAAAAAAGTGCCTAAATCAAATTCATGTTAGCAGTGACACGCACTGCACCTCCCAAAATCTCTAAATAGACTTTAGAGCAGTTTCACTTGCAGTGCTATTTTATAATGCAGTTTTGCAGCAACGTCTAGCAACACTGCTCAGCAATGCCATTCAATATGGATAGTCATCATTAACGCTCTGCAAAATATTTGGAGACAACAATCATCAGTGCTAGAATTCAACAGCAATTAAATCATATTGATTGGCATTAATACTTAGCGGATGTATTTAATGATGCTGTGAAAGGAGGCTTTTTAAGCGACTCATTCGAGCATAAGGCAAAGCTGGTGGACATCACTATTTAATCTACATTTTAGATGCTACATGTATCAGCAAGCCTCACTTGGTAAAGAGTTAAGGCAATGACATATATGTTGAGCTCCTCGTTTCCGGGCTTTATTTTTGTAACCGACAATTTTTATGTCCACTAAGTTTTATCTTGTTCCGATGGGTCTGGCCCCATTGTCCTCCGTGTGTCCTGGTTTAGGGTTACACTCTCTCTTTTGTGCCGCCTAGCTTAGGAATTCAAAGCTCCCATAATGTTTAATAGGTTTTGCCCATTTTCCTGTTCGGGCCATCTGGCTTAACCTTGATTTTCTTTTGTGTACTTTTTTGTTTAAGGTCATAGCCTGAAACAATTTGAAGAAAACTAAACAAAAAATGTTTTTGGTAGAATAACGTCAAAATGAAAACGAAAAAAAGAAAAAGCTCTTGTTTAGAAAATAGTGTCACAGACTTGAAAATAAAAATAAAACCCAAAAACGAAGAACCCTACATATATGCTGTCCAATGTGAATTTTAATGACATAAAACCAGCAAGATAACTTCAGCCATGTCATTCAGAAACACTGCACAGCAGCACTGTTTCGAGACGGTCTGTTGGACAATTTAGTATGCCCGAGAAAAACAGCCTTGACTGACAATATTTGATGAACATCAACATGCAACTATCTCAACAATGTCGCAGAAACAATACTGCTCGAATAACATTATTAAGATTAAATATTCATTCAGAAACTCGTGCAGTTTGCATCTTGTGTAATAAAAACAATGATTGTCCAGTGAACAATCCAACGGATAGCAGTAACCTCAAAGAAACCCCTCAAAGGGATAGCACCAATAACCTCCATTCCTCCATCGCAATTTATCCTGATAGAGAAGACAATGCTTGGTCGTTTAAAGATGCTCTCTCACGACATCGTGAACTAAGATCCCCACGGTACAAATCCCATCAAGAAGGCCTATAGTAATTCACCAAATTAGCAGATGGTGGTCTTCTCTTCGTATAAAGGCACTCCAAAACAAGACATCCCCGACTAACAACCTTGAGTACTCTCCCATTCCAATATCCTGATAAAGAGGACAATTCTTGATCATGTGGAGATGTCCACACATAATATCAAGAACCAAGAGTTCCAAAGCACAAATCTCAGCAAGACTCCATAGATTCATCCAATGAACCAGACAATGGTCTTAATTTGCATCATACAAGGGCACTACTCCCATACAAGACATCACCGATCCACTACCTCGAGTACCCCTCCATCTCCTAAAAAGGAAGATTCCTGACCGTGTGACATTTTTTTTCTCAGTAGCACCGACGGCCGGTCCGTTGGGGTGGTTGCGTTTTAAGTTGCCCGAAACGCTCCCCCACCCACAAGAACTCACCCCTACGCGTGCGGCGAAAATAGAATCCACAGCATCCGCACACGCACACACACCATCCAAACTTCACGCGTTGGCGGGTAAACAAGGACAGGGTGCTGCGACGGACGCGAAGAGCAGCCGCGACGACCACGTCAAGACCAGCGGTGCGCCACCGGCCCGGAGTCCCAGAACGCGTGCTGACGACGTCGTAGCCGTCGTCGAGTTGAGCTCGATCTCCCAAACACCCCGCGCGAAAGAAACACACACGCTTCCTGGAAATACAGACGCCCCCTCGGAGCCAGTCGCGCGTTGGCTGCGCGCGCTGATGTTACAACAGCGCGTGCGGGGGAGTAAGAACGTGCTCATTTTTGCTGCGCGCTTTTTCCTTTTCTCGTATGACGTACTTTTCGTCGGCCCCGTGCACGTGACGCGGAGCAAGCTTACGCCCAAATTAATTTCGAGCGCGGGCCGTGGCCAACCCGCGTGCGTGCGTGGTCGCGGAAGCGCGCGCGCGCGCGTGCGACACAGCGGTGGCACAATGCGGTGACACCTGCCCCCGCGGGGTTAGCGGGCCTGGAGAGACCAGATGCTCATCAGCCTAGATTGCCGCTTGCGCGGCTAAAGGGAAAGTTTCCTTCCGTGTAAAAACAAAAAAACAAAAAAACAAGAAAAATTTTTTTTTTTTTTTTAGTTGTTGAAATGTCGGGTTTCAGCAGTTGGTACAAAAGGTGCATTGTAGCATTATATATCTCCGCCAAAACGCGTTTACTCCTCAAATAGTGTCCCTCCATTTCGACCAAAAAAAAAAAAATAGATTTTTACTTTTTTTTTTTTTTTTTTTTTTTTTTTTTTTTTTGTTTAAAAGCGACGTTTTTAGCTATTTCTCCCTTTAGGCAAACGTGCACCGAAACTGGCAAAACAAGGTGCTCTGAAAGACAGTATTTCCCTTTCGGCAAAAGGCGTACTACACTCCTGTGACTAAATACTCTACCTCTTGAAAGGGAGTAGCCGTACCGAAACTCCCTTTAAAAAAAGTGTATTGCACACGAATACTCCTGTTCCAATAAAAGGTGCAAACAGTACACCTTTTGAACAAAAGGTGTATTGCAGCACTTTATCCTTCCACAACCTACTTTCTGAGGGCTAGGATAGCGTCCCGCTCCGAGCCACGAAGGCGAAAGTATAATCTCCCAAAGGACCAACACAGCAATTCTACCCACAAACAGCGAGAGCTCTTTCCCGAATGAAATCTGAATTTACCGTCCTCGTTTCCATGCTTTTTTAACTTTTTTAAGATCACAACAACAACCGCGCATAAATCGAGCGGCCCAGGGTTCTAGGGTAAGCGATCCATCACTTGGAAAGCCGCAGCGCACGGGCGATAATACGCACTCTCGTCTTCAAACCCATCAAAAATTTAATCTCGCTTTTTTTTTTTTTTTTTTTTTTTTTTTTTTAACGGGAAGCAAAACATATATTTGTCTCTAGAGGACGACCGTACCCGTGATCACGCGCCATATATATACATCATCTGTTCTTAGCACACGAAATGTACATAAACAAAAGAAAAAATGTGGTATATCGCTCTCCAAAGAAGCTTACGTGATCGGTATCTACAAGCCCGACCAAGGATGCAAACCAAAGGTACAAAAACGCTTGGAGGAGTTGGAGGAAGAACTAGACAGGAATATATACGATCAAAAATGATCAATACCTCGATTATCCCTCCACTGCATTGAGGAGCATTCACCGAGCTGCGTAGAAAATAATGCAGTCGAATCCATTCGTAGGCTAGCCTAACTGGGATGTCGCGAACTTTTGCCGAACCAGATTTTGAGGTCGAGCTTTCGGGGTTCGGATGGTTCGACGAACCTTCTACCTTTTAACCAGATTCGACCGGTTCGACTTTGTGGACAGTGTGGCCATACCTTGATAAAAGCATGGGTGGATTTTTTTATTTATTTTTTTTATGCAAAGGGTGTTTTAATTTGATGAACAGTTGCAATTAAAATAAACGAATTCTAATCACTGAAGTTAATAACTTATGTTTTGTACTGTATTAACTGAAATAACCAATTAGTGCTGCCCTTAAT